AATAAAGAATTTAAAAAAAAAACATCCAGTTCTGCATCTATTCCACCACTTTATTTTCCTTTTTGGTATCTTTTTTTAATTAAAAAATGGGACACTCCCAATATATTAAAAAAGGCACAAGAGTGCATCTTTTTTTCACTGCAGAGTGGTGGATTTTCTGAAACAAGTAAGGAGCTTTTCACAGCTTTGCATTTTGTTTCAAATTGCTAGTGCATTTTTCCTAGTAATATTGCTTGTCTTACTTTGTGAATGAAATCAATGGTAAAATCATCAAATGAAAGAAGGATAATAAAAATCAGAAAATGTAATGGAAAGTAGCAGAAAGCGCCATGATTTTGGTGCTCTACAGAAAAATATAAAGGGGGAGTAATGGTTTTATATTTAAGAAAATAGATCATGGTGCAAACTTGAAAGCAAATGTGGACATTTTTTATACAGAGCCCCATTAGTTCTCAAAGTACTTTAGTCATTTACGGAATATATTTTTAGGTAACTCATTCTGTCCAACTGTCACATGTTTGAGTAGGAGGAATTTAAACTTTCATTGATGATGGTAAAAAAAAAAATGAAAACCAAATAGAATGTTGCAACATTTGACCTTTCTTTGATGTGAAGGAATGTGATTCAAACCCTTGAGAGCACATGAGCTAACAGTGTGAGGTCTTAAAACAATGTATGTTCTAGTTTTTCTTAATGGTCTAATTGTAATTTTGTAACTCTTGTAAAACAGTTTGTTTTCCTTCAAGCTTTGACATTTGTGGCTCTTTAGTAGATAACCTAGAAAATATAAAGTAGTAGTAAAAGGAAATAATCCCTACTAAGAGGGAGAATTCCTCTACTACAGCTATCCCAACGCAAAAATATGTGTAGGCTAATTATATCACACATAAACAAATTACATACCTATTTAAAAATATCTTTATTACATACCACTAAATTCTATATACCCTAACCCAAGAAAAAGAAAAAAGAAAGAAGAATGCAGGCTGAGTACGGCAGAAAAAACAGTGCTGAATAAATCTGTAACAAGTTCCAATCTATAAATTGTTACAAAGTATAAATAGAAACAGTGTAACAATATAATGTGTCAAGATCAGACTACAGCAACTGAGCCGAAGTGCTTCTATGCTCTAACCCTATCTATCAAGTCCAATGCACCAAGAATAAAAGTTAAATAAATAAATCGAACCCTCTCATTGGAATACAAAAAAGAGAAAAAATCCTCACTAACTCCTTCATACTCCTTGGTAAGCAATTCATTCATTGAAATATAGAGGAAATCGAAAGGATAGTGAGACGAGAGGTAAAAGAGATTGATATAAACAGTGCATAAGAAGAAAAAACCTTCCAATAGATAGTCTCAAAGTAATTAAAAGCAATCTCAATTGAACTAATGACCGGCCGGTCATATAAGTTACTTGGTGCAGTGGATATAAGTAAAATAAATCAACTAAAGGGCTAGGCACAAGCTGCAAATAACATCTTTAGTAGATAACCCCATAAAATGCAAAAATGAATTTCAAAATAGATTTTCAAATTGACGGCCAGAATTGCTGATCTTAAAGCATACTGAATTTAGCCAGTTTGGCTATATTGACCCCAAATTGTAGATTACTTTGAATTCACTTTGAATTCTCACTTGAGTAAATTAACCTGCCAATGGCGAATAGCCTAGCTTTAGTTATAGCCAAATTAGTGAATTTTTGCAGGTCAGCTATTTTGGCTTAGATTTACGTTGCCATTCAAATTTTATTTTACTACAGTTCGAGACTAATGTATACTGTGTGGATAATAAAGGGATTTTATCACTAAAATCCAAAATAATCCAGATCCATTTGGGTGCATTGAAACTACAAAATCCAAACATTATTTATAAGATTTATCAATGTCTAGCTTTTGCAAAGCAGTATCTGAATGGACTTGAACACCCACTGGAATTCAGCCTGTCTGGATAATACCCGGAACAGAATGTTGAAAATCCAGGACTGGATTGGTAAAGTACAGACCTGTATGTTAAAATCTGAACTATATACCTGTACACTATGAGACAGAGTGCAAAAACTAAAATAAATGATAAAATTAAAAGTCATTTGTATAAGGAATTAGTGTGTGATAGTTGGTCAGCCCGCACAAAACGAAAGCCTACAAGAACCAATATAACCCAATATCTTGATAAATATAATATGTGTGTGCAAAACAAAAAATTAAATAAATGAATCATACAAAAAAAAAAAAACACTTGTGTGTATATTCTCACTTTATGCACTGTATGGGGATTGCCAACAGCTATTCGTGCATAACCCTGCAAGTCTTCACCACCCAGTATGGATAGTTTACTAGCAGAGCTCACTTAGCCCATATTTCCAAATCGGCTATTTGGGTCTGAAATTTGAAGTTATCTTTTAATTACTGACAATTTACACCTTAGTGAATACCCCTGTAATTTTACCTATTCCAACATATTTTCATGGGTACATATCACTTTTTGAAGAAGCTGGGCAATATATTGGAGACTGGGATGACCCTTTGACTACCTTAAGTGGACAGTAATTCAAATGATCTAACTGTGACCAGTAGGTTGGAAAATAAAAACATAGTGTGTCAAAGTAACACTCGTGTAAGGAATACAAATATGCATTCCTAATATTATAGTGTCCTAGTCACTGCCAATTCTGATTTAAATAGCCAAATGTCACTTGCCTATTTGGACGGAAGTACCTCTAGTGACAGTCAGAGTTATCCTGCAAAATAAACATTTGACATTTCACTTGCAGGGTTGAAACTACAGGGTCATGACACCCATACCACTTCATTGAGATGAACTGGCCTGGGTGCCTAAAGAGTATCTTTAAAACCAAGTAATGGGAAATGTTTTGCATTCAAAAGTAACATTTCTACAAAGATTGGTACAAATCATACAAAATATAATATCCTTAGAAATTGATGCACATCATTTATAGCAAGCATTTTATTACTTATATCACTGCCGGGGCTGTATTTACCACGAGGCTAACAAGGCATTTGCCTTGGGCATAATTTCCAGGGGGCAACAAAAACTGGTGCTCCCAAATGCCCAGGCTAATGCCTTGTTAGCCTCATTTTATGGGGGTCCAAGAGCTGGCCGACTGGCCACCTTTGAACCCCCCTGGGGCAGGCAGCTGTTTGTTTTCTGGGCGGGCGGCGAGGGAGCACTATCCCCTGAGCTCTTCCTGTTCAGCTCCGTGCACTGCAGTGATGCCGGGAGCCAGAATATGATGTCACTCCGGCTCCCAGCATCATTCTGCAGCGCGCAAGGGAGCTGAGCATGGAGATCACAGCCCGCCCGCTGACAGCTTAGCACGGCCGCCCGCCTGTCCGCCTGCCTACACATCCGCTCGCCTTCCTGTCTACCTGACTAAATTCTGCTTTTCAGATTTGCTACAATTCTGAGTTTAGTGAATAACTCTCATGTTCTGTTTGCTAAAAGGGAGAGCTGTGCTTAAAGGGACACTGTAGGCACCCAAACCACTTCAGCTAATTGAAGTAGTCTGGGTACTGTGACCCTTTTGCACTTAGTGGTGTTTACATTGCAGATCTAAGTCCACCCTATGTGGCTGTCTACCAGACAGCCACTGGGGTGCTTACGGAATCCAAACAGATTTTTTTCCTGGCACTATGGGATCACTTTAAGATTGGATAGGTATTCAGGGTTATTCAGTAAAGTTAGAATTGGTCCACACAAGCAAAATAAGAGAATTTCAACTGACTTTGCAATTCTCAAATCTACTAAAGGCAAGTCTGGTTGAAATTCAGTGATATTATTTTTATCAAACACTGAATTTAAACTGGTTTCACTAACCCCATCTATTCCTGCATTATTGAATAACTCTATCAGACTTTAGTTAATAAACCCAAAAGTGAATTTCACATTTTAGACCAAATTAGCTTTACTAAAACCATAACAGACTTATCCAGTTTCGCTATTCAGGTCTGAACTGTAAAACTCACTTTAAATTTCTGACAGTTCACACTTTGATTAATAGCCCTGTTATATTATACCCTGTGATTGTGACCAGGATTGCTCTACATAAATGCCAAAATTAATCAAATAAGAGGCAGCTGTGTCACTTCTAGCATGGCTCTCCTCCTTCCCTGTTACATCACTAGCCAAACAGAATGTTGAAGCAGGTGTATAGTCCTGGAATTTGGTGTGACAATAGCACCTGCAAACCATGACTCTTACTGATATGCCACGGTGACTAGTTTCCCGTTAATCTATATGGTATCAAGGGGATCACTCCACACCTAAAAGGTAAGCATTGAGTTTAGTGGATCGTTTATCAATAGTAAAAGGAACCTCAGAATTTACTTTATGAAATCTTGAAAATCAGTGGAAATCAATAAAGTAATTTCAACCCATCAAGATGCATTTTTATAAGTGTGCATAATTAATGTGAGGGTATGGTTACCAGAGATTCATAGTGATCAGCCAGCACCAAATATATAGTTTGGGTGGTTTTCCTTATTGTTAATATGTAAGCCGGGTTATTTGCTAAAGTGAAATTTGCAGAGAATTCAAAATAAATTTGATCCTGAATTCCAGAGCAGTCACATTGGACATATAACTCACTTATATATAATACTTTATTGTCCAGTTCAGCTATTTTGCCATTTAATTGGAAATTTAGTTTTGAATTCATGACAATTTTGACTTGAGTGAATAGCCCTCACAGTTTTTATTTTTAAATTTATTTTTTGTTTTTTATTACATTTTGTTGTGAACTGTAATATTGTTGAAATGTGGTATTTGATACCAATGTGATAGACGTTTGTCAATAAACTTTTTATTTTCGTAGTAAGCTGCCTGAAAGCTAAATTGTTTAAAACCAGCTTTCACATGATGATTTTTTTTTTCCTTTTCCTAATCTTGTGATCTTTCAGCTATGAAGGAATTGGAGTCACGCCTCTCTCCAAAGCATGTGTGGCAGTCACAGCTTAATCTACAAATACAGAGATCAGTACCAAGTTTCTGCAAGCAACTTCATATGTGTTTCCAGATCAAATGACTTTGCCTACCAAAGTGGAATATTCAACTCATCAAACCCAAGTTGTCAGCACTAGCATGCCTCAACCTTCCAAAGACATGGACTACAGTCATAGCCTTGAGCAAATGAATGGGGGTATCTTCAAACCAGTAGAACCCCCAAAACGGTCAACTGGCAGACTAATTATGCACAGCATGGCTATGTTTGGAAGAGAGTTTTGTTATGCAGTGGAGGCCGCATTTGTGACTCCTGTTTTACTAAGTGTGGGCTTGCCCAAGAGTTTATACAGCCTTGTTTGGTTCATCAGTCCCATCTTGGGTTTTGTTCTCCAGCCAGTGGTAGGATCTGCCAGTGACTACTGTCGATCACACTGGGGGAGGCGTAGGCCATACATTCTGTTTTTTGGAATCTTGATGGTACTAGGCATGACGCTCTACCTCAATGGAGACACAGCTGTGACCGGTAAGGAAATGTAATAGTTTTTTATATTTGTTGTTGTTTTGGTTTTACACTTCTGTTAAGCATATTGTTGCATTGAAATTAACTGCTCTATAGTGAATTGTATTGACCAATTAAAGGAATAGTTCAAGCATCATAACCACTACAGCTCTCTGTAGTGGTTATGGTACCAGGAGTACTCTTGTGTCCTCAAATGGCAAGTACCCAGAAGCTACAGCAGGTATATTGTTGGCTTCAATGAGCTAAGCCCAGCAGTGCAGGAACGAGACTTTACTGAGAGCTTCAGCTGAGTGCTCTCAGCCAAGTTTTGTCTTCCTGCACCCTGGTGGAAAGTTGTTAAATCGTTTTTCTACTTGGGAGGACAGTATACCTGGTTCCATCAGGGTGTAGGGAGACACTGACTGAGAGCACTCAGTTGATGCTCTCAGCAGTGTGCTGGGCTTAGCTCAGGGGAGCTAAGTTTCTGGCTCTCCTGGAGGCTGTGACTGATGCTTAACTCATCCAAGTTTTTGAACCATTTGACTACATAACCTGGGATGGTGCCAGTGCTCTCTGCATGCTGTAGTGGTTATGGTGCATGGCATTTTTAGACCATTCAAAACTAGAATAACAGCAAATACATAAAAGCATCCCCATCTTACGCTTTTCACATCTGCATCCCTAGGAAAATGTGAGATGAGGTCACTGAAGATATGGGTTACCAAAATTGTCATGTGAATAAGACTTCTCCTGTCTTTTGCATTGTTTGATCATTAGCATGTTTCGGACTGCTGGTTTAATTTTGCCATGCAGATCTTGTGATTTAGACCATTTTATAAAATTTTGTAGTATTTGTCAAGGTGAAATGGATTTGAAGTGGATATGCTTATTCTGAGAAACTTGTAAAAGTTGCATCCAGCAGGGCAGAAATTATTTCAACAAACTATATATATTTTTTCTAGAACTAACCCAAAAGAAATGGAGAAGAGTTGTTGTTGTTGTTGTTGTATGCATACATTCCCAAATGTATTCCAAGGTTTAAAATGAATATAAGTAGACCAAGATTTAAATTGTATTTTTATTTCTAGTCACATATGTTGTAGCAGCACAGGTTCTATTCAGGGAAGTGGAGGCTGGTTCATGGTGTCTGGTGGGAAATTGTATTGACCTCATTTCCAGAGTTTTGTTGGGGGGGGATAGAAAGTGTTGGACAAAATCATGTTGCATCTGGCATGACTAGTTCTGGAGTTTATTCCCCCCTTTTTATTGATGGTAGAAGATGGTGCTGATGGGCTTAGCAACTAATTGTACCAAGATTCTGTGATTATTATTTTTTTTTTAATATTTATTTATTATTATTATTAAATGTCCCATTCTCTGTGTATATAGGCCCCACAGATTGGTTTAATCTGTTCTAACATGATTAATGATATCCATTGTTTTTGCATTGGACTGTTGGATACTTTTTGTATTTTCCTTTTATTTGTGTGTCATCAGGTGCTGAGTTGTATCTCCTTAAAGTAGTTGGACTTCTCATTGATTCAGATGTACCTGCTACCACCAATTAAAAGACAAACTGCTAAAAGGTGCACTACAATTTTTTTTGGTTTCCATGGTTCTTTATTCAGGAATCAGTATTTGCCCCAGAATAAGATCTGTTTTGCCTTCATTAAATAGTCTATAATCCGTGGCTAACATATTACATGTTCAGATAAATATCAATGCTTGTGTTTGTTTCCCCCTTTTATGCTTTTACTGGCAATGCCAAGACATGCAATGTAAATTATGGCATATGAGGGGGGCTGTAAGAGTGTGTGCTTCTGAAGGAATGCCGGAACACTTTCATATACCCTAATAGGTAATGATACTGCCAGCACATGGGGGCACTGCATGGATAACTGTGCTTTCTATTTAAAGAAAACAAAAAAAGTACAAAAAATACTGATTTTTCACTCTTGTGTTGAGAATCAATGTATCGCCTGGAAATAAGAGTAGTTGCTGTGATCTTTATGCAATGTAAAAGTTCTTACAGCTAAGTGGATATAGAGTATAAATGAGATCTAGTGGAGAAATAAACCTAATACAATTTATCCTTTTTGCTTCTAAGTCTAGCTAAATTAAAAGGGAGAGAGGCTATTTAATATTACTGCCAGTTTCTTTTTTTATTGCTGGCATTAGATTTTCTATCTCTCCTTTCCGCTACAGACTCTGCTAGCGTCTTGATTCACTGGGTATCCAGTAGGATACAACTGTATACAGTTTTACTACTTACCTAGATATATGCATGGGCGTCCGCAGGAATTTTTCCGGGAGGGGGGGAATTTGTAATGACATCCATGCTTGGTCCCTTTTTGACAGTGTCATGAAAGGGAAGGGGCATAGTCATTATTGCATAAAGCCCGGGTTACTAGCATTTTCACAACTATGGTGTCAGGAATATGTTTAGGCATAGGGGAGGGGGTACAGCCTATAGATCAGGGAAGTGAGGCATGGGGGTTTTACTTTTTTATGAATGGGGAGCTACTGATTGGCTTTGAGTGCCAGCTGACCGTTCTAGCAAATCAGCGGCAATCTGTGCTTCCTGACACTCCGTAAATAAAAGTACCAAAGCCTTCTGATGTAGTGTCCAGAATAAAGTGGAGGGTTCACTTCACTTGTCCTTCCTGCTCAAATCTCCTTTTCTTCTCCTTCATTTGACACTGTCTTCTCTCCTCCGTGGCTCCTTCACCTTTCTGCTTATTGTGCTCCCCCTTCTGCTTCTTTCTCTTTCTGGTCCCTTTCTGCTCCTTGCAGACCCTTTCTGCTCCTTCTCCTACTTTTACCTTTCTGCTCCTTGCTGCCCTTTTTATTTTATTTTTTATTTTTTCTGCTCCTTCTCCTACTTTACCTTTCTGCTCTTTGCAGACCCTTTCTACTAGTTTGTGCTCCTTCTGTCTTTTCCTGCTCCTTCTACATTACCTTTGTGCTGCTGACCCTTCCTGCCTTTTCCTGCTCCTTGCTGACCCTTCCGGCTCATACTTGACCTTTTCTGATTCTTGATGTCCCTTTCTGCTCATTTCTGTTCCTTCTCTTACTTAACCTACCTGCTCCTTGCTGACCCTAACTGTAGGCTGCCTCTCTCCCATCCCTTACTTACCTGATCTATAGGCTGTCTCCACCCCCCTATCCCTCACTTACCTGATCTGCAGGTGGATCCAATCATCTCTAACTTCCCTGATCTATAGGCTGTCCCCCCATGCCTCACTTCCCTGATCTATAGGTTGTCCTTCCTCCCCTATGCCTCACTTCCCTGATCTATAGGCTGTCCTCCCCTCCCCTATGCCTCACTTCCCTGATCTATAGGCTGGCCTCCCCTCCCCTATGCCTCACTTCCCTGATCTATAGGCTGTCCACCCCTCCCCTATGCCTCACTTCCCTGACCTATAGGCTGTCCACCCCTCCCCTATGCCTCACTTCCCTGACCTATAGGCTGTCCACCCCTCCCCTATGCCTCACTTCCCTGATCTATAGGCTGTCCTCCCCTCCCCTATGCCTCACTTCCCTGATCTATAGGCTGTCCTCCCCTCCCCTATGCCTCACTTCCCTGATCTATAGGCTGTCCTCCCCTATGCCTCACTTCCCTGATCTATAGGCTGTCCACCCCTCCCCTATGCCTCACTTCCCTGATCTATAGGCTGCCCTCCCCTCCCCTATGCCTCACTTCCCTGACCTATAGGCTGTCCCCCATTATTCCTCACTTCCCTGATCTATAGGCTGTCCCCCATCCCCTATGCCTCACTTCCCTGATCTATAGGCTGTCCCCCCATTACTCACTTCCCTGATCTATAGGCTCTCCCCCTCCCCCTATGCCTCACTTCCCTGATGTATAGGCTATCCTCCCTCCCCTATGCCTCAGTTTCCTGATCTATAGGCTGTCCCCGTTTATGCCTCACTTCCCTGATCCCAAAAATTTTGGGGGAAGAGGATACTACTCCACATCCTATGCTATTAGTTTCTAACGGAAAGAAATACTATCCTGCTCTTCATATTTACAAGATATGTTTTTACCGGGAGATATCTTTTTACTACATATCAGCCTATACTGTATGTATGGTCTAGGAGAGTTCACCTATATTGAGAGCCATATTTAATAAAGCTATAATTTTACATTTAAACTCTGCCTAGATACAGCAATTTTGAGCTGATATATAAGTCTATGAACAGAGAGCACTCAGAGGACTTTGTAGTAAGGTGAAATAAACCTAGCTTTTATTCAGCAAATGCCACAGTGGATCAACGTTTCAGTTCTGTATCAGAACTTTCGTCAGGATAAGGGTTGCAGACACATTAACCAGTATTAAATAACATAATTATTTGGTACAATATATACATGTGGTACTTACCCTTTGCCCCAAGTGACTGCCCTGGCTGTTCGCTAGAATTTGCGGGTAAACTTGACCCGGTATTGTATTTCCCTGACGTTGTCAAGATTGCTGCTGAAGTCTGTGTGTTCCAGTGGTTGTGTGAAAATCGGCTGGAACGCAAGGGGGCGTGTATTGTTGCATAGGGGTAGTCATGGCAACCCATTGAGACTGCTTGTGCCTGTGATTGCTCTCGAGTATCTAATGGTGCAAAGGGTTCCAATCCCCAGCTCGGAGGTAGATCAGCATTTTAGAAACCACAGCATAACAATTTTGGGTGTTGGCAATAACAGCATATACTAAAATAAAGCAAATAAGGAATGATTCTATCAGACGGTCTCTGCTTAGATATATACTTGAACTTTTGTTGCTAGGAATATTATCTCTAGAGAGAAGTTCCTGGATATATGGGCTACTGTGTTCTGACGAAAGTTCTGATACAGAACTGAAACGTTGATCCACTGGGGCATTTGCTGAATAAAAGCAAAGTTTCTTTCACCTTACTTCAAAGTCCTCTGGGTACTATCTGTTCTTAGAGTGTTGTAACTTTGCTGACAAGCACCGGGCTCATACTATCCTTATTACTGGAGTGCAAGCATTGGAGATAAATATTATATAATTTTTTTTTTTTTTCACTAGATCTCATTTATTAGCCTCTGTTTGTTTGTTCTATTTAAAGAAACACTATAGCGTTATACAAAACTGTATTCCTAACACTACTGTATGCCCTTGTCCCTTTAGGTCTGCCCCCAATGCGCTTGAAAGAGTTAAAAACCTTTTTAACACTTGCCTTAATTCCAGCACATTGGTCCCTCGGCACTGGATCCATCTACACTTGGCACAAAGCCGACAGAGGTTGTCTTAAACCTGCAATGTAAACATTGCAGTTTATCTGCAACTATAATGTTTTCACTTGCAGGGTTAATAATTCTATATCGGTAATTTTTTTATTTTATTTTTTGTCTATTTCCACAGTTCAATCACAGCAGCAGGCAAGTTAGGTTGAGCAGCAGTTGGTCAGCTATCAGTGGAGTCTGACCCAAAAGTGCTCACATTTGTCCTTTTTTCAACTGTATTGTACTCATTCTTCAAAAAACATTTATGTGGGTGAATGATGGAGATTTGACTACAGTTCCTTTTTAACAGAGGTAAAAGGTTTCTAATAGAATGGGAGGGGGTAATTGCAGGTTTGGATTATTGTGCTCAGTTGATTAATAGCCGTTGCTGTGTGCCAGTTCACCTCTAAATGTCCAGCTATTTATACATGTCCTTATTGCCATCCAAACAAGTCTGTATACCAAAATGGTAGCTATGGATATTTCTATGATTCTCTTCCTCTCAGTGCTATAGTAGGAGAGGGGGGCTTAAGAGGGCACAGAGTAGGAGGGGGCAAAAGAATGGCGAGGGGGCTAAAGCAGGTATGGGATGGGACAAAATAAGGGCTCAGGAGGGGAGAGGGCAAAAGAGAGGCGAACAGGGCTAAAAAGGTCACAGGAGGGGAGGGGGCAAAGGAATGGCACAGGTGGCTAAAGAGGGCACATGAGGGAATGAATGCTAAAGAGAGCACAGGGGAGGGGGCTAAACGAGGTAAGGTAAGCAAAAGAAGGGCACTGGGAGCGAAGCAAAAGAAGGGCACAGGAGAAGGACAAAAGGAGGGGAGGGGCACTAAAGGAGAGACTGCCGGCCAGCCAGCAACAGTAACTAAGGTAAGAAGAGCCGACTTGGCTCAGAGAGCTATGTTATATTAATATATTGTGAATGGGGGCCAGAGTGTTGCATTTTAAAGTTGGAGGGGCGCCATATACAGGATCCGCCCCGGGTGCAATATTCTCTAAGTACACCCCTGCTGCCACCAAAATGGGGCTACTTCTAAATACACATCAGGTAGGCTAGACTCAATGAATGGATGGGAGATTATATATATATATATATATATATATATATATATATATATATATATATATATATATATATATATATATATATATATATAAAATTTTTTTTTTTTTTTTTATTTTTTTTTAATGTTCTGTTCTAGCTACCCTAGTACTACAACTTTCAATATGAAACCTTTAATCATTGCTACTCTCACTGGCAGCTAATAGTTAACACATTCAAGCAAATCAAGATCATGGCAATCTCTAAGGATTGTATATGCACATTTGTAAGAGAAGGCTAAACTATGTAAATGTCTCATGTTTCACAGAGCGACCAAGTCAAGCTGAATAGTAATAAAAATGAAAACGGTTGTCATACACCCATTGGTGTGAGATGAAAATCTCAGGTTATTGATTATTTTTAAAACACCCACTCGCTCAATACTACACCAAATGACTTTCCTGTGTTGAGCTGGCACATGTGACAAAAATCCTTTGCGTAAACTTACAGAAACAAAAACTATTGGCAGGAGAACACTGCATTTAAAGAGACTGTATCAAATGTATAGCTTAACAGATTAGATACATTTACTCAAATCAGTTATTTTTTATTTATTTTTAAAACATACCTCTTTTCCAAATATTATCATTTAATGAAGGCACAGTCATTGATATGATGTGGTACCCTGCATGTGTAAAGGTAAGAAAAGTGCTTTTGCACAGCATCCTTATCATAATAATAATTAATAAAAAGTCCCCTAATATATTTAAGGTTGAAAACCAGCTTATTGTTGATAACCTCATATTTAAAATATCTGGGAGTGCTGATTCCTAAGAATCTGTCCACTCTGCATCATTTGAAAATGACCCTGATTCTGGCCAAGGTAAATAATCTCTGCTCTCGATGGGCACACCTACCACTTTCCCATTCTGGCAGAGAGAGCCCCCTAAAATCTGTTATAGTTCCTAAACTTATTTATCACTTACAGACCATGCCCCTGCTTCTGTCATGCTGTGATAAGAAAAGTCTCAACAGCCCTTTTTTTCCCAAATATTTTTATTTTTTTGCAACAGAAATACCCAAGGATTGCTTTGCACAAACTAGCACAACCCAGATTCAATCTGGATCTTAATATTACAAATCTAAAACTATGTAATCTATCTGCACATTATCACTATCCTTTAAAATTGGATGAGAGGACCAGGATAACTTACAGTGGTACCTTTTGGAAACACAACTTTGCCCTAACGCAGCCATCCCTCAATTACTATGCACTCCTTGCACTTCCCTTCCAGAGTTAGCACGGGATAACTCTCTATTAGCATCCACTATGAAACCGTGGAAGTTTGAGAGAGCTTCCAGGGCTGCAATGGCAATATACCAGATTTACCTCCCTTTTATGTAACCCGCTCTTTCAGGACTGGATGGGAAAATATCCTTACTGTTCCATGAGAGCCTGCAGGCCGTTCTAGAATACACAATTTATTGGATGACAATAATAAGTAGATTCTTACCTTCCATCAACTTAAACTTACATTTCCTGGCCTCGATGTTCTGTTCTTTGTATATCTCCAGATGCATAGCCTGCTTAACACTTCCACATTTCAGTTCTGCAGATCCAATCAATCGATTATTTGGTTACACAGCCTGACATTCCTTCATATTCAATTTGTTTCCCTCTACTTCCTGATCCAGCATCGTCTAGATCAGTGCTCCTTTACCCTCTCCTCAAGGCACACCTAACAGGATTTAGGGATTACCCAGGTGTGTCTAAGGTGTTTAGATTATTCAGTAACACAATTAGTTTTTGTCACATATTCATCCGCTTATAGAAATGTGGTTAATGACATTTACTGTCCACACAGGAAAAGTTGTGCCGAGCAGCAACCTAATCCACAGAAGGGTTAATGCTGAGCAGCAATTATGCAAATGAAACCTGGTAACTGACTTTGGGGTCAAAGGCCGGTTACAGCCTATCAGATCTAGAGGAGGGGTATTTAGGCCCAGTTCTCAGCCTGCTCAGTGCCCTGTCGTGGTTTCCCTTGTGGTTGTCCGAGAGCGCGTTCCTGTTTATAGTTTTCTACCTGGTTTTTTGACTTTGGCTTTGTTTATTGACTTCTCTATATTCTGGTATCCTGACTCCTGGCTTTTCTCATCGCTGTGTCCCTTTCTGTGTTCCCTGACCTCAGCTAGTATTTTTGACTATTCTTTGTACGTTAAATCCGGCCATTCTAAGGACCGGTAATACGTTACTTATTTGTCATCCGTGCTGTACAGTTCTACGTGCTGGATCAAACAGTAATCCTGACATTACAACATGGCCATAGGTCCTGTAGAACTGTGTCAGCACATAGCTGCTTGCGAGAGGAAATTAGAGGAGAATGATCACCGCATGGATCAATTCACTCAGGCTTTAAGTACGCTTCTCGCCTGCAGTGTCTCCTCCTATAGCACCTCTACCCTGTGTACCTCCACCCACTGATAATAGGACTCCTTGCATCTCCTTATCACCATCCCTACAGTTTGATGGCAATATCCAGGAATGCAGGGGTTTTCTTAATCAGGTGGAGTACCATTTTGAGGCCTCACCAGGGTCATTCCCCACGGACAGAGCAAGAATTGGTTATCTAATGAATCAATTAAAGGGCAAGGCCCTTGCCTGGGCTAATCCGTTGTGGGAGAGTAATCGGAGCATAGCTCATAATTACCAGGAATTCCTTGCCGAATTCAAGCTCACGTTTGAGCCATTGGGTAGAGAGGATGACGCCTCCACTGCCCTAATGCACATCAGACAAGGTAACCGGTCTATCTCGGATTATGCTATTGAATTCCGTACCTTAGCTTCCGAGGTAGACTGGACTAACAATGGGTTAATCTCAGCATTCAAAAAGGGTCTCTCAGAGACTATACTAGATGAGATAGCCGCTAAAGAATTACCTAAGAGTCTTAACGAATTTATTACGTTTGTCATGCATATTGATAATAGGTTAAGACTCAGAGAAGTCACCAGAAGCAAGACCAGACGTACGGCTATGTCCCTAGCACCTCAATTCTCTAAACCTGTTTTGTCTAACCTCCCTGTACAGTCCGAACCCGAACCTATGCAGTTGGGGGTCACTAGACTGTCAGAGGCCGAAAAACAGTATAGGAGAAGGGAGGGGTTATGCCTATATTGCGGTAGAAAGGGACATATGATAACTAATTGTCCAGTGCGTCCGGAAAACTTCCGCACCTAAGAACCTTAAGGGGACAGATCTTAGGTGTGATGGAGTTGTCCTCTAACAAAAACAAAAGTAGATTCCTCCTTGAGGTATCTATTTCCCTTGATAACAAGAAGTTTTCTTGCAGTGCCCTAATGGACTCAGGTGCTGCTGGAAATTTTATTGATGTCCAGTTTATTAGGGGTAATGAGATACCGGTCAGGGAGAGACCTACGCCGCTAGCTGTAGAGGCTATTGATGGTAGACCACTCACACAACCGCTTATAACCCACGAAACTGTCCCTATTACGATCTCCATTGGGGCCTCCCATAGGGAGGAGATGACGTTTCAGGTTATTACTTCTCCATCATGTCCTATCATATTAGGGTTTCCGTGGCTGAGTAAGCACAATCCCTATATTGACTGGGCTAATGGGGAGATATTAGAATGGGGTAAAGAGTGTATGGGGAGATGTATAAAACCAGTACTAAAGAGATTGGATACTATTGACCTTCCCACTACCACTCCCCAAACTCCTGGAGTTCCCATACAATACCGAGAACTTCAGGAGGTGTTTAACAAGGCTCAATCTGATGTATTGCCTCCCCACAGAGCATATGATTGTGCCATTAACCTGTTTCCAGGCGCTATGCCACCTAAGGGGGCAGTTTATGCCTTATCTCCCCAGGAGAGTAAAATAATGGAGGAATACATCAAAGAATCCTTGAGCAAAGGGCACATAAGAAAGTCATCCTCACCAGCTGGTGCAGGATTCTTTTTTGTTGAGAAAAAGGGTGGTGAGTTACGCCCTTGCATAGACTACAGGGCACTTAATAAAATCACTGTAAAAAATGCATACCCTATTCCACTCATTTCCGAATTGTTCGATAGACTTCAGGGAGCTAAAGTATTTACTAAGCTTGACCTTAGGAGCGCTTACAATTTGGTTAGAATTAAAGAGAATCATGAGTGGAAGACGGCATTTAATACCCGTAGTGGACACTATGAATATCTGGTAATGCCATTTGGGTTATGCAACGCCCCGGCCATATTCCAAGACTTTATAAATGATGTACTCAGGGAATTCATTTACTCATTTGTTTTGGTTTATTTGGACGATATTTTGGTGTATTCCCCTGATCTTCAAACTCACCACTCCCATGTGAAACAGGTTCTGCAGACGTTGTTGAAAAATAAACTTTATTGTAAATTAGAAAAGTGCATATTTGACCAGCCTGAAGTCCACTTTTTGGGTTACAACATCTCTGCATCGGGATTTCAAATGGATCCTATAAAACTAGAGGCTGTACTACACTGGCCATTACCCTCTGGTTTAAAAGCCATTCAAAGGTTTATTGGTTTTGCCAACTATTACAGAAGATTCATCAAGGGATTTTCTTCTGTAATAGCCCCAATCACAAATATGACTCGCAAAGGGGTTAGTAGCACGGTATGGTCCAAAGAGGCTGTGAATGCTTTTGAGACTCTTAAACAAAGATTTGCCTCTGCGGACATACTAAAACATCCTGACACCAGTAAACCTTTTATATTGGAGGTTGATGCATCCGAGACAGGGGTAGGGGCTGTTCTCTCTCAGAGAGAAAGCCAGGGAACACCATTGCATCCTTGTGGCTACTTCTCCAGAAAGATGTCTCCTGCTGAGCGCAACTATGATATTGGCAATAGAGAACTGTTGGCCATTATTCTTGCCCTCAAGGAGTGGCGACATCTTTTGGAGGGTTCCAAGGACCCCCTGTTGATCATAACCGACCACAAAAATCTGGCATATATAGGGGATGCCAAACGTTTGTCTTCCAGACAGGCTAGATGGTCACTGTTCCTTTCACGTTTTAACTTTCTCATTACTTATAGACCTGGTTCTAAAAATACCAAGGCTGATGCCTTGTCCAGGCAATTTGATAATGAGTCAGCTCCGGAACAGATGACATCTCCTATTATTCCAGCAGAGTGTATTATTGCTACTACTGTCCTCTCACTGTCTTCTCCACTGCTTGGCACCATACTGGAGGCCCAGCCTCAGGCGCCCAGTGGTAAACCGTGTGATAAACTGTTCGTTCCCCTATGTGAAAGGGTTAATATCATGAAAGTGTTCCATGACAATATAACTGCTGGACACCCGGGCATCAATAAGTCCACTGCCGCGATCACTAGATCATTTTGGTGGGATTCACTCAGGAAAGATGTAAAGGAGTATGTGCAGGCATGTTCTGTGTGTGCAGTTTCTAAGGTGACTCATGCACTTCCTTGTGGCCTGTTGCAGCCTCTTCCTGTTCCTGAGATTCCATGGTCGCACCTATCCATGAACTTTATTGTTGAGCTTCCTATCTCTGCTGGGTTCACTACTATTCTCATGGTTGTAGACCGATTTTCTAAGATGGCTCACTTCATTCCTCTCAAGAAGTTGCCATCTTTGCAAGATTTGGTCCTAATTTTCATACGTGAAATTGTCCGTTTGCATGGCATCCCCCACAACATTGTCTGATAGGGGCTCTCAGTTTGTGACCAGGTTCTGGAGGGCGTTCAGTAAACAATTGGGGATTGATCTCTCCTTCTCCTCCTCCTACCATCCACAGACCAATGGTACAGCTGAGAGGGCTAACCAGTCATTAGAAGTTTATTTGCGTTGTTTTATTAATAGCACACAAGACAATTGGTCTGAACTACTCCCGTGGGCCGAGTTCGCTAGAAACCATGCTGTTCATGACTCCTCTGGGCACAGTCCATTTTCTGTCAATAATGGTAGGCATCCTACGGTTCTCCCTGCGGTATTTTCTGATACTGCCATTCCTGCTCTGGATGAGCGTCTGGCCTCCATTCGGGATACCTGGGTTAAGGTTCAAACTGCTCTAGGGGCTGCTGCTGAACGCTTCAAACATTTTGCTGATAAGCGTAGAAGTGCCAACTCTGTGTACCAAGTGGGGGACCGGGTTTGGTTGTCATCTCGCAACATCAAGCTTAAGGTCCCTAGCATGAAGTTTTCCCCCAGATTCCTTGGTCCCTATAGAGTGCTTTGTAGGATCAATCTAGTGTCTTACTCTCTGGCTCTTCCTGCATCTTTAGGGATTCCCAACACTTTTCATGTGTCCTTACTCAAACCTCTTGTCTGCAATAGATATACTGTTCCTTGTGTTCCTCCCCCTCCGGTGGTGGTGGGTGGTCAGGAAGAGTATGAGGTATCTTCTATCGTGGATTCTAGGTTTTCTCTGGGCACTTTACAGTACTTGGTTGTTTGGAAAGGTTACGGTCCTGCTGATCGTTCTTGGGTTTCGGCTCCTGACCTGCATGCGGGCCGTAAGATCCGCGCTTTTCACGCTAAATTTCCTCTCAAGCCTGGTCCTGTCCGCCCGGTGGGCGTTCTTCAGGTGGGGGGTAATGTCACATATTCATCCGCTTATAGAAATGTGTTAATGACATTTACTGTCCACACAGGAAAAGTTGTGCCGAGCAGCAACCTAATCCACAGAAGGGTTAATGCTGAGCAGCAATTATGCAAATGAAACCTGGTAACTGACTTTGGGGTCAAAGGCCGGTTACAGCCTATCAGAACTAAAGGAGGGGTATTTAGGCCCAGTTCTCAGCCTGCTCAGTGCCCTGTCGTGGTTTCCCTTGTGGTTGTCTGAGAGCGCGTTCCTGTTTATAGTTTTCTACCTGGTTTTTGACTTTAGCTTTGTTTATTGACTTCTCTATATTCTGGTATCCTGACTCCTGGCTTTTCTCATCGCTGTGTCCCTTTCTGTGTTCCCTGACCTCGGCTAGTATTTTTGACTATTCTTTGTACGTTAAATCCGGCCATTCTAAGGACCGGTAATACGTTACTTATTTGTCATCCGTGCTGTACAGTTCTATGTGCTGGATCAAACAGTAATCCTGACAGTTTTATCCTGATGGATTACACACTTCCTACATTAACCCCTGATGTACTCCTAACAACCACTGTTAAGTTGCTTAAATTACTTCCAGTGACATCTTACCAGGAGATGCATTTTAAAAATTGTACGTTACACCTACTACTCTCCTCCTAAACCATTTTATTTAAAAATGAGGGACACTGACAAGTATTTGAAATGCGTGACTGACTGAGCTGACCTATATCATTGTTTCTGGGAGTATGTGGAGATTGTCATTTTAGAAACAGGTCAAAGATTACATAACTGTTATTGTGAAGACCGTTTAATGTCCATCCATCACTTGTGACATTGGGGGACCTAACTGAGGACTCTGGGCATATTTACAAACTGGCCCATTTGTTTTAGCTAGGAAATATATACTACATCATTGGATCCTTCCCTCACCCAGTGTCACAGCTTCATACAAAAGTCTCCTTTTAATTTTAAAATGGATTGGATTGAAGCTTCATTACTTTAAGGAAAAATCTTTTTCTAAGCTGACAACCCTATTTTGATTATTTAGATATATCCCTCCAGTCCAAAATAAATTCCACTTTTAAATTGATGGATATTAGACTGGGCGACTCCTGCCGAGTGTGAGAGCATTGTTTTTTTTTGTTTATGCTTTGACTTACTTTATTTAATTTTCATGATTTTTTTTTTAAAGAAATGTATAAAATGCAAGTTCTTAACTTGTAGTGGGTATGCTGAAAGTTGTCTGGCCATCTAAAGGCTCCTCATCGAGCAGCTGGCTGCATGCTAAGGAAGAGTAGGCACCTACTTGTCCTGTTTTTTTTTTTTTTTTATTTACAATAAATGCTAATGGACAATTTTAAAACAAGATTAAAAAAACAAATTATATATATTAAATATAAGTGAACATCCCATGACATAATTTATTGAATATAATTAAACCTTTAAATTTTTTTCAGGGAATATTATTTACATGCTAATTGTCTCAACTCCCAAGCAGGCCAATCCTTCCCCATGATCCCAACAAAGTGGTTTATTGCCAGGTCATTGGCATCAAACACCATGACATCATCACTATGTTCATGTATTGCACTAACCAGCTCTAGAGATGCTTGCCAGATAGATTTCACAGCAACTCCAGTGCGTGTACTGTAGTTACTTCAACAGAGCAGGGCACTCCTACCCAGTACCCTGACATTTAGCTGAGGACATTGGCTCTATGCTGATAATTGATGGAAACTTGGGTAGGGATCAAATTGTTTAAACCAGTTTTTTTATTCAAGTGAATATCCCTATCTCTACCTAAGAGCATTGCTGGGAAGAAAAGTAATTGGTGATGAAAAGCAAAATCCATTTCATGTGAAACAAACCCCACTCACCATAGTTTCACATATCCGGGAAAACAACTTTATGCAGTTCTGGTTTTCTTGCTAAATGTACACTTATCTTTTTATAATTTTGTTTCTACACAATTTTTATTTATATATTTTTTTACAGCTATCTTTAAGACTGCGCCAGAGAAGAGGACTTGGGCAATAGTTATTACTATGCTTGGAGTAGTGACATTTGATTTTGCTGCAGATTTCATTGATGGGCCAATCAAAGCTTATTTATTTGATGTGTGTTCTCACGAAGACAAAGAAAGGGGTCTTCATTATCATGCTCTTTTCACTGGTAAGTCCTACATTGGATGTACTTCATAATTGTCTACATGCTGCTCTTAGAACTTTCTATATGCCTTATTTAGAGTCAGCATTTTTATCTTGCACCAGGCCAGATTCAATCTCCTTTTATTTTTTTTAATTTTTTTTTTCTGAATCCATTTCATATCTCAAAGTACTTTTCAGTAATGCTGGTATTTCTAATCCTATCCATATCATGTTGAGTGGAAATAAGAACTTGTCATCTGATCGGGTCACAAGAGATTCTACTGCAGTGAACTTGTGATCACATCAAATGAAGAGATCTGAATGCACTTTTTTTTTTTTATGAATACAAATGGGGGGAGAGGTTTTAAAATGTGATCTTTTTATGTTTTAAAAAAAAGTGTTATCAGAGATCATTACTAAAATCTCATTAGTTGTAGGTTAGTATAAATTGCATACATAGGATAAGATTTGTGATTAAAGATATCGAAACTCTTTGAACATTCTTCTTTTTCATAAATGAAATGCATCTTCACTTTACCTCTTTTCACCCCTCATTCCTTCTAATTTTTTTTATATGCCCTGCTTGACTTGTTGCAATGACATGTTTGTTAATCCATTTTATTGTGCAGCACTGCAGAGTTTGTTGACTCTTTATAAAATACTATTTACCAATGTTTTACTAAAATAACAATATGAAGGCGTTGGATATCGTGTGTGTGTGTGTGTTTGTTTTTTTTATTAAATAAAATTTTTATCACTGGACTAATACGGCTACAAAATATCTTTATCTTGCGCGCTCTCTCGCGCTCTTTTTCTCTTTCTTCCTTGATCAAAGTGTAAACTCCGGGTGCTTGCAGTCTGGGGGAAATACAGATATCCAAATAGTAAAGATGACCAGCACTCACTATTTTCTTGAAGATTAAAAGTTGTAGATTTTATTAATACATGTTAAAAATGGCAGCTCAACGTTTCAGTCCTCGTCTGGGACTTTCATCAGTGTTAAACAGCTGGCAACATTTTTGTGCTAGATGTATTGGTTTATTTAAAAAAACAAAAAAAGTGTTTAAGCAAAAATGGTTAATTCAGACAATTATATATTGTCAGTTTGTGGATTCATATAAATGTGAAACTCATAAATGTGTAGTTTTTTTATTTTTTTTTTTTTATTTTTTTTTAGATCTTAGATCTCTGAAACAATTTTCTAGAATTGTTTTTTATAAAAAAAATAAAATTTTGTTTTTACACTTCTTAAATATTAACTGTACTAGTATTTACTTATCCTATTTAGTGTCCTGGGCTTTCTGCTTGGCAAATGAAAAATATTATGCTTGCAGTGGGGAAATTAACACATAATGTGTTTAGTGATGCTTTGGTTACATTTGGCCTCTGGCTAAAGAGAATCTTTTTTTTTATTAGAGCTGCAACATAGCACCAGTCTTCTTAGTACACGAAATTGCAACCTTATGATCTGTGTGCACAGATGCAGCACAAGGTCACATCTATTATATTTAAGTAATTACTGAATTGTTTTGACTTAAAACTGAATCGTATAAATTTAAGGCAAAAACTGTTTTGAAAAAAATTTTCAACTGAGCAATTTAGTCTTAATATTGTAATTCAGTTTAACATTTTTATTTCAACACAATTCATCTGATTTACATTTTTAATTTATTTTTTTTAAACTTTTTTTTACCCTCATTAACGTATATTTGTTAAATAGAAGATAAGTAAACATAAATTAAACCAAAATCTTGGAAAAGGGGCTATTCCCATTTTTAAAGAGGCATTCTCAGCACCATATGACCATGCTGTAGGACCATGCTGTAGGACAGTAGTCCTCTGACTGTTCATACTTTGAGAGAGCCATTTCTTTTGATAAATCCCAATTTCCCATAACTCTAAATTCATGTAAACATTTACAGCCTGCATGATAAATTAGGGACAGTTTGTCTACATGCAGAATCACAACCCAACTATTGACTTTTGTGTAGATATTAAAAGATTAGGCGACCTGCTATTGGGTTTTAATATTCTTGTTCATGGTTATCGCTAAACAGATATATTTTCTATGTTACTAATTTTCTTTAGCTGCATTACCCTATTTGTTCATTAACCTAGTTAGAAAATTTAAAAATAGATATTCTTTTCTTGACCTTAACCTAGTGTTGGTCTTTTATTTTTATATATTACAAAGAAGACATGCACTTTTTTTCACTCTTTGTCAGAATGAACACGAAGCTACAGCTGGTTCTTTTGTAATGGTGTGTCACCATAACAAAACCAAGACCATATATGGCAAGTCTAAGGTGTTAGGTATAAAATTATTTCTTTTGATCAGAGAGACCAAATCTGTCCATCTTACGTTACTATCAAAACTTCCAAGGGCAGCATTGGAGCACACTAGTTCAGGACAAGAGTTCTACATATAGAAAGGTTTCCGTGGACTACTGGTGTGCAGGACACTTTATTTTTTATTTTTTTATCCTAATATCCTCAGTGGTGTATTTTGGATTTGTGCTGCCCTAGGCACGACTAAATTCGGGCACCCCCAAATCTAAATTTGCCCCCCTCCCCCCCCAATTTGTGTCAAGGCTACTTTTTTGACTGAAAGACAAAAGCCCTCATTGATACATGCACTGACATATACCCACTGACAGATACAGTCATTGTCGCGCGCACACACTGTTTAACCAACACACATTTTTACTGAAACATACACACTGACACACCCACTCGCTGACAGACACACACTCTCAGGTACACATTACATGACTGACACACACTCAGAGATACCAATCCTCACTGATTTAACACACTCTGACAGCGACACACTCACTCTCACCAATTATTTAAAAAAAAATTTAAATCCACCCATCCTCTCTACCTTTGGGAGAGCTGGAGTGGATATAGATCCAAATATTGATCTGTTATATTCAGAGGAAGCCCAAATTATTAATACAAGTGCACTTGGAGAAGCATGAATTAAACACCAGATGCATGTTCGTTATCAAAATAAGCCTCTGTCGTTTATTCGTCAGTTGGGTTTTCATACATTAAAAAGTAAGTGCTTACATGTAAATACTCATGACAGTAGTAGGAAGAGAGTGAAAGGGTAAAAGGAGTACAGATAAGACATAGGGTTGGACGTCATGTACACATAACATACGTTCAGAGAAAGAACAGAATGATTTGACAATAGACCGCCTAGGTGGTGGCTATTTGCTCCTGGAACTTGACATATATGGTCTTTGTAACGGATCACCTGGCACCCCGACTGGGTACCTCCGTTGAAAGATGCTCCTAGCGCTTCCTGAGGACTCCAAGCACTGCAGCCGACACCACAATCACCGAACCAGAGAAGCGTATACCTTCTCTCAAGCATATGAATGCTGTAGACAGTTGAATAGGAACCATACGAATAGGTTTACTCTCCTAGCAGTCAAACTGGAACAGCATACAATAAATCCTTCCCCCAATAATGAGACGACACTTCACTTTGAGGGTTAAACAGGAACTCCTGTACTGTCACATACAGTCTCTTTTATTCCCAATCCACAAACATAGTACAGCCCACAGGGCGTTACAAAACAACCAATCACATCACAGTTACATCCCACATATTCCCTCCCCTTATCCTGAGAGGAAACTCAATTATACATACAGTTAAAACATACTTTCTACCCAACTTTCATAACTCCAAAACCATACATCACATTCACATAAAATTACATATTTACAATCAATCCATTCAGGGGAACAACATATTCAAAAATGGCACAAATCAGACAAGGGGTTCAAAAGTTAGTAAAAAGTCCTTTGTGACTAAATGAAGCATGGCTTTCTGGCCCAAACCAGTTTCAGAGTCTTCTATCCTGGAGATAAGTAATTCAATTATCTCCCAGGACAGACACAAGACTCCATTAAGCACATGGTTGCAAAAGACACAAAACACTTTAAAATACATAAAGTCACATTTTACACATAACACACAGACATTTCACATATCCCCAGATAGCTCAGGTCTGAGCGCACATTATTAAGTGAATGGCGCTCGGACCACACAAATACAGTTTAATCTCCATGGAGCCAAAGTCTTTACAGTCAGTTTCATACGAATGGGCTCCATGGGATTCCTATCTGGGGTATAACACATTCACATAAAGTCTGGTCCATAGTCCAAAGGCAAGAGGCGGGCAAGCAGCCCCCTCCAAGGACACGTGGCGAGGCCGGTTTCGCCACAGTCTTAAGTGTCGTTTTTAAGCATCAAGCATTTCCTGAGTCCAAGTTAGCCAATTTTAATATAGAATATAAAAATATGACACCTTGAAATTATAAATACAGCCCTGAATATCCATATTTTCTATGAGCTCTATTTTGTTGAATGTTTAACAAAGCTCCACTCTCCAAAGCAATAATATTCACAATAAAAACCAAAAAAGTTACTGTGCACTGTCCTCAATCCCTATGCACACCCAATAGGTGGAGGTCTTTTAGAATCACTCCAATGGCCATTAAAGTGCAAACCCACCTGCCATGTAGGCATTGTATTTGCCTCTGTATTACACCACCATGTTACAGTGCTGATACCCATGACAGGTATTCCCTGTGAGGGTTAAGTATGAAGGGGTTTAGAAAAATACCCCTCTGTCTCATTGAAGATTTTGACTTCTAGCTGAAGATGGCAAGGTGAATTGTTGGTGTAGGACCTGCCTAAGAAGTTTTGTTTTGATGTGGCAGGTGGGCTTGTGCTTGAATAGTTAGTGAAGTGATACTAAAAAAACTCCACATATTCGGGTGTGCATAGGGATTTTTAGAGTGCATACGTAATGATTTTCTTTTATGTATTGGGAATGTGTACTATAGTCATTAATGCCACCCAAGAGTGGTGGGAGTTTGAGCGCAGGGCTTGATTTGGTATGTTAATATTCACAATGTCTTTAAACTACATTACATGCACTTAGAGTGTTCTATTAAGACAACATTAATTTCTCCTACAAACTCCACTTTGCCAATCCTGTACATACATATCTGTTCTAATGCTATCCTTGTTATTTTCGGTACTCCTTTTATTTGCAACTCCTGCTTCTCTGATACATTTTGGCCTACAACAAGCCCACAACCAGCATAGTCAACCACAAATAAATGGCATATCTGTAGAATGTTTCTTGTATACCATTCAGTTGTGGTTTGTTTTTTAGCACCACTTAATACTCAAATGGTAAACAGTGGTTAATATCGGTAAAGGTGGATGTTGGAGATAGTAGACTAAAAAACCTGGCACAGTAGGCTGGAAACCTTTTGGATTTTTGTAATAACTACTTAATGCTTCTGTTTACCAATCATATTTGCGACAGTGAAAAGCATTTTTGAGGACTTTCCAGAATACATTTTTGTTTGTGTCTGTTTTTTGGTCAGGATAGTGATTAGCTGACAAAAGTGCAATGCTAAGTTCGCTCATTGGCCTTCTGATCTTAAAGGACTACAAAGTCACCCAGATCACTTAATCTCAATGAAGTGGTCTGGGTGCAGTGGTAATGTAGTTTTAACCCTTCAACATTGTTTTGTAGAACACACCTCTGTGGTTATCACAATGATGGCCACTAGAGATACATCCGCTGCACTGACAGAGTAAAACATCATTTACGTGTCATGGCTGCTCATAGCAAAGCATTGAATTCCCGCACAGGTCTCAAACTAGTTTTTACTCGTTCCATTACAGAGTGAACCTACACCATTTGCATATCAGATTTATCATACCCATAGGGGCAGTCCAGAGTCTTCAGACCCAAAATGCCGTCAAGTTCCCTCTGCACAAGAACAAGCCTGGAACTTGCCAGCATTTCGGATCTGCACTGCTGTTATAGGCATGATCAATCTGATATGCAAATGGTGAGATTTATTTAGGGCTAGATACGTCTTTATCAAGAATAAGTATATTTAATGACTTATTTACAAGATTACATAGTCCTTAAAGAATGACAATATAAACACTCTTATCTTCTATTCTAAGTTATAAACCAGGATTAGTTTTGTTTTATTACAGGACTGGACATGCCAAAAATCATGTACTGTTATTTATTTTGTATCATGTGTCCTTCATGCCTACTTACCTCCTTAAAGGCCAATGGCAGTTTATACAATCATAGCAACCAGTACTGAAAGGATACTATTCCAAAAATTGATTCCCCCCCCCACTCCGTTAATGCCTGGAGGAAGCCAAGCTAAATAAACGTGAACTTTTCATTATGGTACACGATCATTAGGGAGCAAACTGTTACTTATAATTATTTACATCCCACTTACTGTTATTTAAGGGAAGTACCACCATTTAAGGAGTCTCTAGACCTTTTATAAACCACTCGACCCATTGTCTTCTTGATTATCATATCTACAGAACCCTAAGATTACATAATTTTCTTAAAGTACATGGTCATCTGTCCTACTTATCTTTAATAAGGTCTTTTACGATCTATAACATCATCTTCCTCTGCAGTTTCATTTCCTTTCTCCCATTTTGAAATTTTATTGGCTTGCATACTGGATACATACTTGTGGTAAGATCTATATGAGCAACCAGATTTTGAAATCCAGCAAACATAATGTCCTTTTATTTTCAGTATGACAATTTTAGTTGGGATAAATCGGTAATGGCTATACCTGTTTTCCAATATGAATAACTGCTAAAGGACCACTATAGCCTTTAAAGGACCACTATAGACACCCAGACCACTTCAGCTCAATGAAGTGGTCTGGGTGCCAGGTCCCCCTAATTTTAACCCCGCAGCTGAAAACATAGCAGTTTTAAAGAAACTGCTATGTTTACATTGAGGGTTAATCCAGCCTCTAGTGGCTGTCTACCTGATGGCTCTTGCCCCGCATGCACATTTGGCGCTGACATCGGCAGGGGGAGGAGAGGTCACCAGCGCTGAGGGAGCCCAAAGCTGGATTAAGGTAAGTGGCTCCTTGAAGAATTTTATAGTTCCTGACATAGAAGCAAATATGACTGAGAGTTATATAATGTAAAAAAATTACAAGTGTGTTATTTTTCTTCCTATAGGTCTTGGAGGCGCATTGGGTTATCTCACCGGAGCTATTGACTGGGAATCTACCTTCATGGGGACACTCATGGGTTCTGAATTCCAGGTCATATATTTCTTTGCAACTTTGGTATTCCTTGTGCTCCTTGTTATACACATGTGCAGCATTCCTGAAGTACCTCTTGAAGATGACAAAGGAGAAACACTGTCCTTACTGAAACATGATCATTTAAAAGCCTATGGGTCAGTAGATAAATCCCAAAATGGAATTTTGAAAACCTTAGAAGAGCAAGATACAGCAGAGGATACAGATATACAGGTAAACATTACGTTATATATATATATATACACTATTATTTTAAGTGGGTTTATTTTTTTCAATTTTTTTTCCATTGGGGGCATATCTACTAAACAGTGATTATTTGTTTGGGCAGTGAATTGTACCTTTTAAAGTGTAAAAGAGCTAAAAATACGTGTCTTCATATAGTAACCTTAAACCGCAACCAGTAGAGATGTGTCTATAGAGGCACATATCCGACCAGTTTTTAAGTAGGAAAAAAAGTCTTTGTAGTAGTTTTAGAAACACTAAGATTATTTTTCTGGAGGGGAGCGTGAAAAGGCACCAAATATGGGAAACAAATAAGATATATTTAAGTCTGAAATAAGTTTCAGTTCTGCAGGATCCTTAATTGGTAGCTGTTTAGAGAAGCTTTCTTAAGAGCATCTAGGCATGTGAAAAATGGGTCTGGTTTGAAATCTGCCCTATTTCAGCAGGTTTTGCACGTGCCTAGTGTCCTTTAAGAAGGAATTTCCATTGAGTTACCGTTAAGGCAGCAGTGCAAGCTGCTCGTGAGAGAGGCATGCGCTTGGTCTCTCTAACAGAGCCATCATTGGCTGACAGCACCAGGGTGTGGAGTTGCAATGCCCAAAGGAGAGAAAAGCAAGACGCTATCTTAGAAGTAACAAAGAGAGTACACACGATCAGTACTTCCTGGTCAGTGCCAAATGTAAGTGTCATTTTATAATTTTCTCTCCCCCAAGAGCCCTAGTGGCTGCCCAAGGGCTAATTTTAAGTGAGAGAATTTACTCAAAAATACATAGAGCACTGTGCTGCTGGTCAATAATCATTTTAATAACTCCTACCACACATAACCACAATCTTCTTTAAAGTGCTCAGTCACACTACAGAGACCTGAGATGCTCAAGTTGTGAATTTTAAAACTGCAGGACTGGGGCTGTGACTCGGAGGACTGATCTGATGTACACTGTGTGTGCTGAAGGCCAATAGTTAGTCCGGAATAGCTGACATGGTTGGGAGTCTATCAGTATCTTGATGCGATAACCCTGTGCGCATTGTGTGCTGAGAGTAGTGGCGGCTCTAGACTTTGTGAGGCCTTGGGCAAAACTCAAACATAAGGCCCCCACTAACACCTAAAGTAAAAAATAGGTGTTTGCATTGTGTGTGTAAAGCACGGTAGTTGTGTTGAAGGACAAGCTTGCAGTGCTGGATACAGAGAGCTAGTCTCTGAATTCATTGTTCAGAGGTTTGCAGAGTCTCGACTCCCTGTGCCGCTGCGTTGTGAGCTCTCTAAATGTAGTTATGGCATCATTTGCAAACAAATTTAAACAACAATTATGTTTATTGTTTATACTTGACTGCAGGGTATGATTACTTAAGCGGCACGGTCATGGCCAAATCAATTTTTTTTTGTTTTGTTTTTAATTTTAATACCCACCCCAACTCCACTCATCGAATTGCCTCCCTAGTCACCCCCAATGCCACCCATATAACCTATTTTCTATCTTTATTTCGTGCCTGGACCTAGGTCCTGGGCACCACCATCTTTGTGTGGGCAGATAAGGTCCCCTTGGGACACGTCATCTGCCCACACTAGATAGCGCTGTGACATTCCCGTGCATGCCCAGTTAAAGCGGACGGGAATTTTATATATTAATTAGTTCGTCAGACTAAGCAATGAATAGAAATGTCACTGCAACTTAAAGGAACAATAAACTCATCCTAACCACTATAGCATACTATGGTATGATTCTCCCAGTACAAGTTGTCAAACTATTTGCTAACTATTTGACTTCTTACCAAGAGTCTGATGGTTGTCTCTTCCTTCCTCTCTGTAACTCCTGCAAGGATCTTCTGTTGGCTCTCCTGAGCTAAGCTCTGCCATTGAGGACCAGCTCCTTGGCTGAGAATGCCGGGCAATTGGTATCAGACCATGAGCTTAACCCTGCACTATGTAGAATAGCTACATGTAGAGAGCAAGGGGAACAGGCTGGCACATGCCAGGTTAAAAAAAAAAAATCAAACCATTACTATGCTAAGGAACTTCAGGCACCATAACTACTACAGCATGCTATAGTGGTTATGGTGATTTGAATGTTCATTTTAATCCTATCCTGCTGTTTGTGCATACAAATCATTGTGCATGCAAGGCCTGTGGTGTAAGAAACATAGTCTGGGCTCACGGTGATGAGAAACTCAGGAATCCATATTTTTGTTGCGAGATTGACATTGTGGCATTGTTTTACCAGTGTGTCATCATATGAGCTGTTAGGAAAAAAATTTTTTTTTTTTTTTTTTTTAAACATCGCAGCAGTGTTGAGATTGTTTACATTTTAATGTCATCGATACATAATTGTATTGTGAGCATAACTTTGGGATATTGGCAAACTGATCATTTGTGCATATTTTATAATACTCAAATTGGGATTTTACCTATATTACGCTACATATTAGAGTTATGGTGTAATGCTGTTCCAAATTACTGTCTCTGCACAAGGTTGTATACAACTGTAGTGACAGCAGACATCACAAGAAGAAGTTATACTGGCTGCTCTGTTTGCACATATATTGTATGTAGCTGCATGCTGTGCAGTTACGCCATCTGTAAAATACAGGGAGTGCAGAATTATTAGGCAAGTTGTATTTTTGAGGATTAATTGTATTATTGAACAACCATGTTCTCAATGAACCCAAAAAACTCATTAATATCAAAGCTGAATATTTATGGAAGTAGTTTTTAGTTTGTTTTTAGTTATAGCTATGTTAGGGGGATATCTGTGTGTGCAGGTGACTATTACTGTGCATAATTATTAGGCAACTTAACAAAAAACAAATATATACCCATTTCAATTACTTATTATTACCAGTGAAACCAATATAACATCTCAACATTCACAAATATACATTTCTGACATTCAAAAACAAAACAAAAACAATCAGTGACCAACATAGCCACCTTTCTTTGCAAGGACACTCAAAAGCCTGCCATCCATAGATTCTGTCAGTGTTTTGATCTGTTCACCATCAACATTGCGTGCAGCAGCAACCACAGCCTCCCAGACACTGTTCAGAGAGGTGTACTGTTTTCCCTCCTTGTAAATCTCACATTTGATGATGGACCACAGGTTCTCAATGGGGTTCAGATCAGGTGAACAAGGAGGCCATGTCATTAGATTTTCTTCTTTTATACCCTTTCTTGCCAGCCACGCTGTGGAGTACTTGGACGCGTGTGATGGAGCATTGTCCTGCATGAAAATCATGTTTTTCCTTGAAGGATGCAGACTTCTTCCTGTACCACTGCTTGAAGAAGGTGTCTTCCAGGAACTGGCAGTAGGACTGGGAGTTGAGCTTGACTCCATCCTCAACCCGAAAAGGCCCCACAAGCTCATCTTTGATGATACCAGCCCAAACCAGTACTCCACCTCCACCTTGCTGGCGTCTGAGTCGGACTGGAGCTCTCTGCCCTTTACCAATCCAGCCACGGGCCCATCCATCTGGCCCATCAAGACTCACTCTCATTTCATCAGTCCATAAAACCTTAGAAAAATCAGTCTTGATTGACTAATTAAATTTTTTTATTTAAAAAGCTCTGACTGAGCTAGCCTGGAAATGTTTTTTTTTTTTTATAAATATTTATTGTATTTCCATATAAAAAGACATAATCGGAAGTATCCATGTAAACAGTATTGATTCATAATTTTGCTAGACATTTTCTTTTTGCACTATACATTCTGATGATTGCATGACATAAATAACTACATACAACAATGACAATATAAGATTTTTCTATATGCCTTAGAAAAGGAGTAGGCTATATGACTACAGTTATTCCGATTTCTTATAACAATGGAGATACTGTAGTTATCATTCTCATTGTGCTTCGCATTTCCATAGAACATACAGACAATCTTACATGCATAAAAATACAGAATAGAGACCACAACATGGGTATAATATACCTTACATACTGTATAGCGGGGGAGGGGGACCTTGAGCACGCTGTGGAGGCGAAGAAAGGAGTATATCATTAAGTAGTGTTAAGATTGATCGAAACAAACCATACGTGTCCATGAATTAACCTTCCATGCCCAGTTGAGTAATTCAAGGTCGATTTAGCCTGTTATAATATTCAAACCATCTGGACCAAATTTTATTATTTCGGGATATTACGGTTATTAAAAAAACAAAAACAAAAAAAACGCTTTTTCCATAACTCCTTAGTGATTAATTTGAGTTAAAATTTCTGTTAAAGGCGGAATATTTGTACTCTTCCAATATCTTGAGATACAGATCTTTATTGCCATTAGTACATTTATCAATAGGTATTTTTCAAATTTCCTTCGACCCTTAATATTTATAGGAAAGAAACTTCTCAGGAGTCAAATCTGGTATCTTTTTAGATCTTGTTCTTCAGCAAGGTGTAATACAAAGTCTTTTATCAAACTTAAATTTGAGCAGTCCCATCGTATATGTTCCCACTTCCCCATTACATCTCCAACAAAGATTTGTGTATTAAGGCTTAAATTTACATAGTCTGGAAGGGACTAAATACCATTTGCTTAAGATTTTGTAGAAATTTTCTAAAATACTTATACAATGTACTGATTTTTTTTAAGATTGTCCATAGACTCCGTCCATAAATGATAAGGGATGGTAAGATCTAAGTCTTCTTCCAACTTTAAAATCTTATTTTAATTTCTGGGGTGGATTTATTGATGATCTGTCTAATTTTGGATGATCTTAAAGATTGCTATCCATACAAGATCGTATCCAAAGGAGACTGATCTATTATTTGGATTGTTCTAAGAAAGTTAACAATACTCAAGTATGTAAATCTTTCTTTGTTAGACAGATCATATTTCTGTTGGAGTTCATAAAAGGTATTGGGAGAAATATTAGATCCTAGTTGGACAATTTTTACAATATTTTTTTTTTTTGTTAACCACTCGGTAATTCAAGATCTCTTATTAATAGTTTAGTTATTCCTAAAGGAGCTTTGCACAGAATTTGATTATGAGCCAGGAATAGTGTTTTTTTTTTTTTTTTTTATCGGATCAATTGATTTAAACATTTGTAATATTATCCAATTATCAATTCCTACATTTTACTGTCCAGCCAAAAGAAAAGGAAGGGATCAATTTCTACTCATTGTTCTTTCTCTATCTTGTATTATGTTTTGTCTCTAGATTTCTCGTTTCCCCATTGCAAGAAATTGGAAAACATTACTGAATTATGAATCATCAGAATGTTGGGAAATGATAATCCTCCCTCTCTTAAGTGTGTTATCATTATTTATATGTTGGTTCTTGCTTTTTTTTTTTATCTGACCATACAAAAGAATAGAATAATTTATCAAACATTTTCAGAATTTTGTTTGATACTCTTATTGGCATTGTATGCAATAGATATTTGAGTTTTGGCATCAAAACTGCTTTTATGGTGTTTAATCTACCCATCCATGAAAGTATTAAATTATCCCATTTTTTTTTGATCTGGTCTTGTAAATCTTTAAATAGCTTCATATAGTTTAAATTTACGGATGTTTCTATATCAAAATTTATTAGGGTTCCTAAGTAATTTATTGTTTGTGAGTCCCAGTTATATTTAAATTTAAGTGAATTTACCAGATCTTGAGTTAAATTTAGGTATTATCTTTTTTTTGTGTGTAAATTTCCTAAAATCCTCTATGCATTTCATTACCAAGGGAATAGAAGTTTCTGGGTGAGTAAAGGTTAATATTATATTGTCTGCAAATAATGTTCTTTTTTGTTTATTCTCGTTGGTATCCCAATAATATTTGTAGAGTTTGACTAGCATTGCAAGAGGTTCAATAGAGAACGTACATTAGGGGAGCCAAAGGGCAACCCTGACATGTTCCATTCCTAATATCGAACCAATGTGTATTCAATCCATTGCCGAAGAATTTGGCTTTAGGGGAAGTATAAAGTGACATTGCTAGGTCTTTAAAAGTTCCTACAATTCCAAAAGCTGTCATTGTTGCATCCAAGAATTGCCAATTTACTCCTTTTCGGCATTGACCGCAATATAAACGTTTGGTAAGTTTTCCTTATCAATCCTTAGATTTAGCAATTTTCGGAAGATTGTCTCCCCCTGATCTTCCTTTTACAAACCCTGATTGATAGTTCTTAACTAGTTCAGGAATTACTTTGCTTAATCTAATCGCTAAAAGTTTAGATAGTACTTTAATATCTAAGTTTATAAGTGCGATCGGACGATAATTTGTATCTTTCGATGGTTTAGGAATAGGTGTAACTGTAGCACTTATTAACTCAGAAATGTTTTTTGTTGAATGAAGTTCACTAAACCATCTATGTAATAAAGGAGCTATTTATAGGTTCAAATTTTTTTAAAGAAAGAGGCAGTAAAGCCATCTGGAACCAGCGCTTTTCCTTTGGATAATTTTTTTTTTTTTTTATTTATTTATTTTTTTTTTACGATCTTGATTTCTTCAATCGATATATCGTTATTTAGTACAACTAATTTGTCTGGATTAATTTGATGGTTATTTTATTATCAGGTAAGTTATATAACGATGAGTAGTAATTAGTGAAAGCATTCCCAATCTGTAGGGGAGAAAGAAGGGTTTTGGTTCCTTCGATGATTTTTTTTTTTTTGAATGTTTGTTTATTTTCTGGTTTGAGTTTTTTTCGATAAGGTCCCTACTTTATTACTACTACAAAACCATTTTTGTTTACTCTATTTGTGAGCGATAGATTTATCTATTGTTGAATTGTTTTTATTTGAATGGCTAATTCTATAGAAGGATTTTTAGCCTGGAATTTAAGAGATTAAATTGTTGTCTGGTTACTACAAATGAGCAAAAAGTGTACGGCTCAAGACCTTTTCCCCACCTTCCAGCTCTGCCAATATATATTTTTGCAATGGGTTTAGTATTTGTCAGCAAAAGTAGCAATATATATATTATTTTTTTTTTATGTGAATTAAATTCAGTACTTTGCTACATTGAAAACCTTTACTATACATATCCACTGTTTGTAAAGACCATTTTGAGGCTTCAATATATGTTACAGATGTTTGCATCTGACACATTGAGTGTTAATGGACAGAAGCCAAATTGTAATCAGCAATTTCTGAGCAAGCAGGCATTTTAGAGTTTCTTTAAATCACTGATCTATGGAAGTTGTTGAAGTTATTTTCAAAAGATTGTCGTTGGATTTCCCTCAGGTTTTTAGATGTGCTAGAGTGTGAATAGCAAATAAATGTATACAAAGTGACAAATAGCCTTTAGGAGTTGGTAAAGTGTGAGAATGCAAATAAAAATAACAAAGCGGGAAGAACATTGACTTTTACATCATTTTAAATTCTCATCTCCTTCATAAATATGTTCTTTCAGATTCTGGGTACCTTTTACCTACACAAGATTATGCTGTAGTAAATGTAACGAGAATAAAAAATGTTTTCATATGTATGGTTTCATATGCTTAAATAAACGTGATTAAAGGGACTCCATTTTCTTTAATTTTTATTTTTGTAAAGCTTTCAAAATATATATATTTAGGGAATAATCATAAATTCATTTTAAAAAAGATATTAAAATATTTAATTTTTTTAATGGAATGGTTGCAGCTCTTGCAAATTCGTAAGAAACAGCATGGTTGTGTCTGCCTGCACTAGGAAAAATCTTTACCAATCAGTAAGTGTGATCTTGTTGAAATTTCCATTGCAGAAGGGGCATATGAGCTATGTACTTCAACAGATCTGTTAAACTGTACAACACATATAGGTTTTATGGTTCTTGGATTGTCCCTTGAAGAAAATCTATTTATGAGGCTCATAAGGCATATTTTCAGTTAACAATATCTGCTTTTTTTTTCAGTATAAACCTGATCATCCACCCACAGCCACAACTGCTTGACACATTGTACACCAATATTATTAACCTCTGGTTTCAAAATACCTTCATAAGTGAAAAGTGACTTTAAACACTCCACAAAAATATTAATACAGAACTGATATGCACAATTCCCGGTTGTGTGTTCTCTTCAGAAAAATGCCCCAAAAACAGATGTAATAATCTAAGCCAAAGAGAAAATTCCCTGGTGCTAACCACAAACTGTGTGCATGGACATTTACAAAATATTTGAGCCTCTGAATACAGTTGAAGCATATGTAGGAGTATTAAGAATGACTGCAAATTATTCCTCCGTAATACCCATCAGTAAAAATGCTTATAAGGGTATTGTTTAGATCCCACTTGGAAAATCTAGTGCAATCCTATATGCAAATTAATACAAATGCATAAGAAAAATTAGCATATCAACAGATCCAGTGGTCTCCGGTCCAGACTGGAGAATGAAGGATATAAGTTGACAGCTGATTAAAAAAATTTAAGTGGTGGATAAAAACAATAAGATAAAATGCAGAGTAATATCTGTACAGTTCCAATGTTTTGCCCTTTTCCATTTTTTTTTTTTTTTCAAACTTAGCATCTGGAAAAGGATGAAACGCGTTGCCAAATGCCCAGTGGGCCGAGATGGCTACGGGTTGAGGAGACAGGAGAGATCAAAGTATATACCCTGCTGGGTTATATGGGTCTGATACTATCCAAGCGCAGGTCCTTAATGCATGACTCTTCACTGCCAGTCAGGAGATCAGCAGGTGAAAAGTCTGAGCACATGAGCAATGCCAACCTGCACCTCCATGGATGCAGAGTGTTCCCTTTGCGAGCTTCGACACAGCATAATGCTGGAGATCCTATAAAGATTGAACACAACTAGTACATGGTGGAGGTGCAGACTTGGTCACTAAATACCACCAGGGTATTCAAAGTTCAAAGACACCCCTCCTTGGCCAAAGGTAAAAAGGAGGGGAGAGGGAGGGATAATTTATTAGGTAGGTGTGCGCTTGTGTGTGTATATATAAGGATTCCCTATGCACACACTAGATCCCTTGTAGACATGTAATGCACCTCTTACAGACTACATACCTGACACACATCCCTATAAGACACACACAAAAAACAACCTACACGCACACATTAGATTCCTTCCATACACACTCTAGATCTCCTCTCCTTCCCCTTCCCCTTCCCCTTCTGTTTTTAAAGTGGTCCTAGTGGTAAGAATCTAGATGTGCAGTTTTTCTACTTGAAGCACTGACATGTCGGGGGCTAGTTGCACCCAAACATACGTGACTTAGGCAGTCCAGAACTCTGTTCCGGGTTGCCTAATGTCAATTCTGGGCATAAAAACATCTGTTCTCAGTATGCACTGCACAGTTACCTAACTGCTTCTCCTGTAACCACAGCCATTTCCCCTATTTACCACTATAACATCTTAAAGCATAGAACTTAGCAGGGCTAGCCATACAGATGTCTTAGCAATAATATTATATAGCTAGTAAGAGTTCCTCTATCTTAAATATATAAATAATTGAGAATACAATATAACATAGGGACTGTCTTCAAAACAATAAAGTTTTTTATCTTTTAAATATTTAAGTAAATATATAAATATAGACATCTAAAATCCATTACAATATTTTATAGCAGAGTTTTATAAGATTTAATTATATGCTTGCAATATCAGTAAATAGAATAGCATACCCCCCTCAACATGTCAACCTCTATCAGTCATGATAAAATGAAGCAGTTTCTCTGTCTCCAAAATCTCTCCTCTGAGTCCGAATATTAATAAGTACACATATTTATACTTTAGATGTTTAATTAGGTCATTTTAAGACCTACCTTAACTTTGCAAAGAAACAAGGCCATCACTTGGTTATTTCACATTGGAACATCTTATATATGTTTGTCATGACCTCGACATCTTATCTATGTTTGTCTAGAAGTTAGTTTGACATAGGCATAGCCTTCAATTGTTATTGCATTAAATGTTATTGCATTAATCCAGGACAAAATGGCATAAGTTATGTTGACATAGGCATAGCCTTGAATTGTTATTGCATTAATTGTTAATGCACTAATCTAGGACAAAATGGCGTCTTAAAGTCTAAACATCTTACTTAATTATTGGATAAGACGTCAGATTGATAAGAAAAGGAACATTGTATGAGAAACAATATTTTCCATTTCTAACAACTTGTCATTTTGCAAAATCTCTTAAAGACAAAGGACACAGTTTACTTTTCATTCTAATTTTGTATTATTTGAAATTGCCCATAACACTCACTTGTAGGAAGAGCATACAAGGGAGAATCTCTCCCCTCCTTCCCTCCCACACTGCATCTCGGGAACACCCCACAAGATTTTCAGTTTTTGGAGATGTTTAGACCCGATCATCTAGCCATCGCTATTTGACCCCAAGTCACTCAGATCTTTTTGCTTGTCCATTTTTTCTGCTTTCAGCAGATGGAATTCAAGAAGTGACTGTTCACTTGCTGCCAACTATATCCCAACCCTTGACCGGTGCCATAGTAACAATATAATCCTTGTTATTCACTTCAACTGTCAGTGTTTTAATGTTGTTGTGGCTGATCAATGTATTCAGTAGAAGGCGTATTTACTTACATGATGACTGACAGACCGTTCTTCACTATCATTTAGCAATTTATTTTAATCTTCCTAATGTAATGTTCCTTTTTTTTTTTTTTCATTCTTTTCTATTAGGTGCAGAAACGAATGACCCTTAAATCGCTGGTGAATGCTCTCTTAACCATGCCTGCTCATTACCGCTACCTGTGTGTGAGCCACCTCATTGGATGGACCGCATTCCTATCAAACATGCTGTTCTTTACAGACTTCATGGGACAGGTAGAAATTAAAACCATGCTATGTATGCATATGTTTAAACTTTCATGTCATTTCAAAGTATGTTGATAGATAAATCAGATGTACATTTATATTTGTTTGTTAGTGTAAAAACATTCGTGGCTTAACTATTTTGTGTTCTTAAAAATACTAAATCTAAAATAAATATGAAGCAATTAATAAAGGTAATTCACTAAATTTACAAAAGTTTCTTGAGTGCCCTCTATGTAAAGAGAAAAATAAATAAAAATTATATAAATACTATATTTTTCACCAGAGGATAGCTCAGTTCTCCTTGGTCTTAAAAAAGAAATAAATTAAAACTGAACTTTTATTTGTCAGCGTTTCAGTGCCCTATAAAAACTTTCATAAAGGCAAAGCACAAAATACATACATACTTTTCCAAATACAGTTCATCACTTTCTTTCATGCTCCCTTTCACAATGGATGACTTCATGGACTACTCTAAATGTAGATTTGACATCCATGACAATATTTTAAGGAAATATATTTTGAATTTAATTGACTATGATAGCGAGAGGCTGACCTGGATTTACAGTTTTTTATTCTCAATACCATTTCAAATTCCAAATCCCTAGAGGCTTTCGTGTAAAGAATGTTATGGCAATTGGGAGATTAAAACCTCAAGTCTGCCGCAAATAGGTGACCGTATTAAACAAGGGTTTCATGGACTTGATACGAATAATGGAGAATGTGTGAGAGGATATGATTGCTGTTGGATTGTTAAAGAGCTTGAAAATAAATATGCATTTCTACTGACCACTGCAGAACCTAATACAACCCTCCTGAAGGTTAAGGTGAATGTCCGTAAATACAAGAGAGACTTGATTTGATTTAAATAGAAAATGTAAAAAAAGACTACAGGGAGCATAGACTCTACAAATGCTCGAGCAGGGAATCTAATAAACCCAGGAGACAGAGAAAAATACAAAAGCCATCCCACTTTACAGTGGATAAAACTACAGGGGAATTTGTCTCGTACACAGAAACCATTACAAGGCATCTAAGACCTTAATCTTAAGAGATTTTTTTTTTTTTTTAACTACAGGAGCAGAAACCAGTCATGCCATAGATATCTAGTTCCAAGTGAGAATAGACCCAGGGGGAAGACTTGGGTACAAGGGACTGTGACAAAACGATAACCCCTTTCGGCAATAATGCCAATCTGTCACAACAGGTAATGAGTCCTGATTGTCTTGATTAGAGGCCTTTTCTTTGCCCCTTTGAAATCCTAGTATTCCTGCCAAGGCTCTCCTTTCCCCTCTGAAGCTTTGCTCCCAGCGCATAGACCAGTTAATAAAGCTTAGTGTTCTAGCTTGTATTGCAGTTTCACCCAATGACTGGCTGCTGGGTGAAAGGAAGTTCCCATCACCAGACAAACACAGTACTTTTTGTGGGTACAAGAAGCTCCCTCAAGTCCAGGTTGTCATAGGATGCCTCACCATCTCCTCTAGCTCCACCTCCAAACTAGGACTGAGAGCGCTAAAAAAAGTTAGCAGATCATGGCTAGTGCCCGATCCAAACTAGAGTTCCAAATCATCAGGGAGGGAGGCACCTCAAGAACCACGAAAATAAGCTTTCCACTGCAGTGGTGTATTTAGGTTGTGTGCTGCCCTAGGCTCTAATCTAAATTTGCTCTATTCCTTCCCGTCCAAGCTGCACCACCTTATGTTTAAGATCAACATGCATTTTCACTAACAGGCACCTCACTGATGCATACACTAACATACATTTGCTGACTGATGGTCATTGGCACACACGGTTTAACCGACACACACACTCACTGAGAGACACACATACATTAATGCACACACTCACTGACAGACACACATTCAGACATACACATACATGCACTCAGTTACTCCCACACATTGACCGACACTAGGGAGCAGAGCAGGAAGAGCTCAGAGATCAGCTCTCCCTCACTGTGCATCTGCAAAATGACCAGTTGCCACCTTGAGAGACCCTAACGTGGCCAGCCAGCAAACTCTTGGACATCCAGGACACGAGGCTATCATGGCATCAGAAGTGCTGCCTAAGGCAATTGCCGTGTTAGCCTTGTGGAAGACACAGCCTTGATCCAGTGCCCAAGTCAAAGCATTGAGTACATCAAATCCTCTCCCCAATCAGCCCAGTAAGACGTTCTTGGTCAATGTTCAGAGCGAATCAAATTCCCTGTTTCCTTCTAACATGAATAAAGGTCAAACAAAAGCAATCCAATGACTGTCCAAAGACCCTACAATTGAACAGACTCTGTATAGTAATACAGAGCTATGCTGGCTATTGTGAAGATTTTCTACAACAGGTGAGTGATAACTATACATATCAAGAGATTCCATCAGACACCATGGCTGCGACCGAACTTATTTTTTACACATTCTTGAACAGAGGTTGGTTGTATTTGTGATGAACTTCGTCACTATTTGAAAGTACTGAACCCACGCCCACCCATTCTAAATTGCATACTGAAGATACATAAAAATTTGACCAAACACTGGGCACTGGATAGTGTTTGCTAGTGGAGGAATGATTGAACCCATTTCTAAATGACTGTCTTAGCACTACCCACACACACAAAAGAAATATCATCTTTCTTAGAAAAACTAAAACCACTACAACTACCAGAGAACCCACTGAAACTTGTGATTTGTAAAATTCTACATAAAGTAATCCCCCATGAAGGTGGGCAGCAGGTTCTCTTACAATCCACCTGCTACCAAGGACCAGCTGTTAAGTTCGTGCTGGAATTTTTATTACTGATGTTAACCCAGAACAACTTTAGATATGAAAAGTAGATGGCTGCTTGTCACGCCAAGGGTGCATAATGCTTTGCTATTCTATAGAATATAGCTAGTTCATGTGATTTGTGTAGTGCGTACATAAATAGACTGGTAAAGGGTGTTATGTGCAAATTGACTGTAGAGGTTAGATGTCACACGAGGTTAATTTTAATTATATAGGAATGTGATAATGTCACAAGATTTACAACATGAAAATCCTCTTTTGAAGCTGTGACTCCAGAGCTCCCGGTGCAAGGTCTGGTTTCAGTGTTATCTTACTGGCTTCTACCAAATGCTTGTACTTCCTCTTTGATAGCGTGTTATTTTGATATGCTAATTACCATTGGCATTCAAGATAACCATTGTGTTCCAGTGCCATATGAAACATTAATCATAACCCACAGATTAATAATCATGCCTCCTTTGGTGCTTATTTAGAAAGGGGAAAGCGCACCTTACAAATGGAGTTTAAATATGGCTAATGCAGCTTAAGCCGTTTGGAAGGAATTGTGAAATCCATTGTGTTAGGTCATAAGTAGGAAGTGTGACATAGATATGGCAAGACATAATTGCAAAAAAAAGTCATACAAGCAATTTTTATTTCTGTAGCAAGCACAACAGAGGAGATCAAATCAAACTAGAACAGCCCTTATCCCTACCTCATTTCAGCCCCTATCTCCCCACATTCCAGCCGCTATTCCTCTTTTACAGTGCAGACCCAGTTATTTCCACATACAGTATAGCTTATATCTTCCCATACACTAAAGTCCCAAGTGCGCGCGCACACACATTACATTCCCTATAACCACATGCACATAGCACTACATGTAGCCTACCCTACACACATCAACACCACAAGCAATCACCAAATATACACCATCATAAATGGTCTATCCCATACACACACACACACTCTACCCTCTTTTAACCCTGTCCCTCTTATGTTCTCTGGTTTGTGTCTCACTTATGGGAAAACCAGGGACATGGTCTGGATTGTGTCAAAGGCCTTTTTGCACAGACTGCACCTTGGGTTTTGCAATTGGGAAGCAATGGCTGACATCACGGAGCCATTTATTTTTTGGAATCTTACATACACAGGTTTATTCATTAAATATTGAGTGAAACTAAATAAAAATTGCAAAGTTTAAGTGAATATAGCCAAGCTGTGACTGGGCTGAGGTGGGATACACTACACCAGTTTTAGCTTCTGTTTTGCATTTGATGATGTGTTGCATTCACTAAAATTTGAAGTTAAATGTGGATAACCCTGATAAAATTCTGGTCCGTTCCTCAAGTTCTAGAACACTCTAACATGAATATGTTATAACATGGATAATCAGCAAAATGTAAAACATTCCCAACAGAATGGGGAAAACCATATACCTTTTTACATATATATAAATATTTTAATTTCTTTTTTTAACAATGTATGAGAGCTGTGCATTAGAAATATATAAATTCATATTCCTTAGATTTAATTTGCTATACACTTGTCAAGGAACTGTGCTTTTTGTTTGCATAGTAAATTCCAATATTTATTGCACGGGGAATTCAATAATTACAGTTGAAGAATAATAATAATGAAACTCATTTTCTTAGCTTTAGAGTCTCAATACTAAGCCCTATGATCTACAGACTTCATATGTAATGCTTTGCTCAATGAAAAAGCTACATAATTAATCTGAGCAAGTCAATAGTTTTGATAACCAGATTTCGCAAAGGTCAAAAAGCACTTAAAAACCTTAAATATAAAAGGTCATATTAGAACAAGGAGGGAAGATACAGCTTGACTATAGCTAGTTAGCGGAGGACCAATTTCATGTTGATAAATGATCAAGCCAGGTTTGTAGGTTCTAGTGTGAAGACTGTAGTTTGCAATTGGACGTAACATAGGTGCAATACTTTCTGCTTATGATTGTTTAAGCAGTAAGTGTTGAAGTTGGTTTATTTCTCTTCCATGTTAACATTAGCGTAGGAAGCAGAGATTGAAGTCAGAACAGAACACACATGCTCTGTATTAGCTCCTGCATCTGGTACTGAAAAACTGGGTCTAACAGCGGGCTTCATGCACATTCTGACCGCAACCGCAGATAGTACTTATCCTACTAAGCCACGGTCGGTGCACCTAGAGATGCCTTACAGAAGCCTGTTTCAGCAATGGATCACCCAGACCGGGGCTTGCGGCCTAGTCGAGTTTGTGCTGAGCAGAGACAGTCGCTCTCCTAGCTCTCTGATAATCACAGTGAGACCAGTACATAACTGCTCCCCCTCCCCCTTTGGACCTGTGGGGGTTATCCCGGTCTCACTGGTGAGCCTCACTAACCTCTGCTGAACCCTTAACACCTGCACTAGCCTCAAGATGGCGGTATGCAAAAGCCTACGATGATCCCACAAGGCGCATCAGAGCATATACTGCAGTGACTGACTGAGATCTTCGAAAACTTCTGGGCCAAACTATCTGCAAGTCTTGAGGTGACACCGGCTTCGGTTGTAGAGAGAGCAGAAAGCGGAAGTGTCTCCCTTGGCACTTCCTCTACACCAGCGCTTTAGTCATCCACCCATGGCCTAGCTGGCTGAAGACCAACAGGGATTATCTCCCAATGCATCGACCACTGGCGCGGATGATCCATCATCACAGGCGGCAACAGTCCAACAGGAGCCTCTGTCACCCCCTAAAGGGAAGAACTTGGGATCCCCTTCGAGTTCCCAAGTTCATGGTCTCAGGATGCAGGCCTTCATGACAGGCTAGGTGGTTGTCTTGCACAGAACCTGTCACACAATACCGCTCCGCAGCTTTCTCCTGCCACCAACCCAGGGCATCGGCTGACTTGTGACTTAACAACCCAAGTTCCCTGCTAGTCAGAAATCTGACTCCCTTATTTGCCTACCCGAATGCCTACTACATGCTAACCAGCATCCACTATATTTTTTGCTCTCTAGTGCTCACATCGATCTACATTTTAATTTTATTTTACTTTTTATCTTACTGTGACACCGCATTTCTTTTATGTTCCTATGAGATAACGTGAAGCTTCAGTGGTGTTATACTTTTATAGCTTGATGGGATGCACATACACTATGCTGTTGAATATACCATTACCTAGCCTTGGCTCTTACTCCAAGTATAAGTTTTATGGATTAGCAGTCTGCCCAAAAGCCAAGCACATGCCATCCAACCATCCAGTTAAATCTGTTCTTTATTTTATGCCTCGTAGCGCCAATAATTTTATTCTGTGCTATGCTGCAACATGACATTGTGTGGATCCAGTGGTGCTATAATCTTGTACACATAGCCTGTAGTAAAGCATCTGTAATATGCCAGTTAATTGCCTTTTGCTTAGCCTAGATTGTTCCTCCAGGAATATATTTTATATTCTTTCTAGCGCACTTATATATGGCAATTAATCTCAGGCATATAATTTGTTTTCTTTACTTACAAAAGGGGCACATTTACTCACTCTGTGACTTTGACTGAATATTAATATTGTGTTTATCCTGCTTCCATGCGGACGCCAGTTCCTGTATGCATGTTGTCTTACTCTGACTCATCCTGTTTGTAATGGATGTACTGCTGTATTTCATGTTCAATCTATGCCACAATAAAGCCAAGACTGACAAAAAAAAATTAGCATAGGAACCACCAATATTGGGGTATTCTGATGTAGTAGTGGGATTACATTGTATGGCGATAGGGTGTGATCAAATGCTCTTATTGTTTGCCAAGGTAAGTGATTTTAAGTAGCTTTGTAAGATTTAAAAATGTTTTGTGAGTGCTGTTCCCTTAATCTGTATTTTGGATGACAATAATAGACTGAGTGCTGAGCACAATTTAACTATCACTGCCATCAAAGCATGAACTTTAATAGATAATATATAGTCTCCTTACACCATAACAGCTAAAATGGCTGCATAAAATGTAGTAATTATAGTGCTTTATGTTCCTTTTTTGAGTTCAGTGCTTGCCTTCCTTCTTTAAGCAGTTACTGATGGCTCCTCTCCAAAACCATTATTCTAAAGTACAAACCTTCTGCCACAGCAACTCTTTAAGTAACCAGAACTTCCTCTACCTCCAGAAGCGAGACTTTTTTCCATCTGACTACTTGCCCATCTGCTACTTATGCTTTATAACTTTTGAATTCAATAAGCATACCTAAACCCTTGGTGTGGGCTAGGCAACCTTTTAGTAGCACTGTGACACAAAAAGACTATGAAGTCCCTTGGAGTGCTGTTTTTTTTTTTTTTTTTTTTAAATTAACGTATGCTTATATTGCTTGCGTTGTGTATGGGTTGCTTTGTAGGGTTGTATTTGTGCATATGTGGGCTGTTGCATTGTTTCTGTGCATGAGCTGTTAATTATTGTGTGTGTTACATACACTGATCAGTCACAACAGTAAAACCACCCACCTAATATCATGTAGGTCCCCCTCATACTGCCAAAACAGCTTTCATGTGTCAAAGCATAGACTCCACAAGACTGTTCAGTTTGTCCTGTGGTATATGGCACAAAGACATTCATAGCAGATCCTTTAAGTCCTGCAAGTTGCGAGGTGGGGTGCATGAAGGGGAGTACATGGTCTACATCAATTTCTAGGGAGGTGGTATGTGTAACATCTACATGAATGGCAGAACCCAAGGTTTCCCAATATAGATAATTACATAGTTACATAGGCTGAAAAGAGACATGTGTCCACCAAGTTCAGCCTTCCTCACATTTTTTTTGCTGTTGATCCAAAAGAAGGCAAAAAAAACAGTTTGTTGCACTTACAATTTTGCAACAAACTAGGAAGAAAAATCCCTCTTGACCCCAGAATGGCAGTCAGATTAATCCTTGGATCAAGAAGCATTTACCCTACATTGAAAAATTAAATCCTTGAATATTCTGTCTTTGCAAGTATGCATCTAGTTGCTGTTTAAACATCTGTACGGACTCTGATAAAACCACTTCAGGCAGAGAATTCCATATCCTTATTGTTCTTACAGTAAAAAAAAACAAACCTTCCTTTGACTTACACCAGGGGTTCCCAACCCAGTCCTCAAGTACCCCTTAACGGTGCAGGATTTTGGGATTACCCTGTTGTGTCTAAAGAATTTTTGTTTTCTTTTTTTTCCTCTTATGTTTGTGACTAATTTCCACACAATGGTTTCTATTGGACACAGATATATTTGTATAATGTGATCATGTCCCTCTGAGGCGATGTTTTTCTAAACTAAAGAGGTTTACATTTGTTAACCTTTCTTCATAGCTAAAATGTTTAATTCCTGTTATTAATTTTGTAGCCCACCTCTGCACTCTTTCTAGTGCCATAATATCCTTTATTTAAGTACAGGTGCCCAAAATTGCACAGCATATTCTTACCAGTGATTTTTTATAAAGAGGCAAAATGATATTCTCATCCATAGAATTAATGCCTTACTGGCCTTAGAAACTGCTGATTGACAAGTCCTTCTTGTGTGTTGTTATCCCTAATTCGCTTCCATTAAGGGTATAAGTTGCTTGTGCATTCTTGATGCCGAAGTGCATAATGTTGCATTTTTCTACATTAAATTTTATCTGCCATTTGAGTGCCCAGTTCCCCATCTATCTAAATCCCTCTGCAGCAAAGCAATATCTTGCTCACATTGTATTACTTTAGAGTTTTGAGTTCTGCAAACACTGAAATATGACTTTCAATGCTTTTTTCAAGATTATTTATAAACCTGTTTAAATAGAAGGGGTCCCAAAACAGAACCCTGAGGGACACCACTTGCCACCTCTGTCCAGTTTGAAAATGTACCATTAATGACAACTCTCTGTTTTTAAGCCAAAGTTCTACCTAAGAACAAGAATTTTCATCTAGACCAATTTCTTTGAGTTTGAACACTAATTTATTGTGTGGAACTGTATCAAACGCCTTGGCAAAATCCAAATGGATCACATCCACTGCAACACCCTGATCTATACTTCTTCTTTGTAGAATTGCACATGATTCATCAGACCAGGAAACCTTCTTCCATTGCAGATGACAAAACTCTGTAAAGTAATACAATGTGAGCAAGATATTACTTTACTGCAGATGGATTTAGATAGACTGGGGAACTGGGCACTCAAATGGCAGATAAAATTTAATGTAGAAAAATGCAATGTTATGCACCTCGGAATCAAGAATGCACAAGCAACTTATACCCTTAATGGTCCACTTCTGTTGCTCATTTCCCCATTGAAGGCAATTTTGGCAGTGGACAGAGGTCATTGTGGGCACTGGTTATCCATAGGTGGCAAACTGAAACCTTTCTATCATGGCAAGCATGTGTTTTGTTTTTTTTTGTTTTTTTTTAGCAATTTGAGCTACAGTAGCTTTTCTATGTAATTGGACCAGAAGAACTAGCCTTCGTTCCCCATTTGCATAAATGAGCTTTGGGTGCCCATAACATGAACAACGGTTCATCGGTTTTCCTCCCTTGCACCACTTCTGGTAGGTACTAACCACTGCATCCTGGGAACACCCCACAATACTATTTTGGAGATTCTCTGACCCAGTCCTCTAGCCATCACTATTTGGCACTTGTCAAAATCACTCAGATCTCTCTGCTTAAAGATTTTTAATGCCTTCAACATATGAAATTCAAGAACTGACTCACTTGCTGCATAATATATTCCACCCTGTGACAAGTGCCATTGTAATAATATAATCCATGTTATTCACTTCAACTCTCAGTGGTTTTAATGTTGTGGCTGATCAGTGTATATATGTGGGCTGTGCATCATGGGGTGTGTGTGTGTGTGTGTAATTGGGGACTGTGTATGGGGATGAATTTTGTGTGTGTGTGTGTGTGTGTAGGTGGTGTGTGGATGTGTGTGATGGCTGCTTGGGGTTTTGTATGCTGCAGGGATGCATTCACGTATGATTTCTTTTTGACTGTGTTGTTTTGCAAGGCCTATTCCTGTGTGGGCTTTTTGTATTCGCCTGTGGGCAAGCTTCTTCTATAGCTGTGTGGCCTGCTTTCCTGAGGTCCAGTGGTGACCAGATTAAACTTGGGAGGGGGAAAACGCTACACATTTAATTCTGATTTCAACTGCTCTTAAAATTTAAAAATCATATGTACCCCAATACGAAGTTCTAGACTTTTGCATTCATTTTCTTCTGAAAGACTGATGCAAATTACAATGAATGAATTGATTGTTTGGACCAAAATCTCTTCCATCCAATTTATTTCGTTCATTAATTTAGGGATTTTTATTTGGTCTTTTTTGGAGCTGAAGAAAAGATGTCCTCTAATCGTAAGTAGGAATCTTTTATTTAACATGTATTTAGTTTGGCTTCCCCCTCACTATTATTAGGGTGAGGGCAGTTGGTAGGGTGGTGTGGTTTTTAAAAAAAAAAAAAAAAATTCTTCAGTGGTGGGACGACTAGGGGCTTGGGGATTCCTAGTCACTAGGGAAGGGATAATTTTTAAAATTATTAGGACACTATGTTCCCTCATTGATTGTATTTAGTAGCTGCTCCGTTACAGCCATTGCCTACTCAGTTTAGTAGGTATGCCCCTCCTTGCCACATGGTGGGCAGGAGGGAGGATTAAACCTCCCTTATTTACCAGTATCAAGTATCTTTTACTTAGTATTCGTAAAGTTGTCTGAAAGACCAAATCCCAAAAAGTAGGAATTCTTGTAACGTTTTTTTTTTTATTTCATTCATCTATAGGTATATAGATATATTTTTTAAATTTAGCAGGGCAGTGCCATTCTATTAGATTCATTTTTAGACTACTTAAATACAACACATGTATTTGTGCACCTCTGATAATTCTTTTGATCTTTACTGTGACAAAGCATGGTGGAAGCTGTAGTATTTAAAGCATCTGGGGATATACCGTATGGGTACCCCTGCTCTGTAAATTAATCAATTCCAACAGAATTCTCCAGGTCTTTTACATATGATACTTATAACCCCTCTTTCTTTAGATTAATTAAATTTAAATGAGACATGGAGGAGTGGCCCAGGGCAATCTTAACACCAGGGCCCGGTAGCTACTAGTTACACTTCTGATCTGCAGATATGTCAAAGAAAATACAAGTAGCATTGGTTACCATGGTAACCCAGTTTTTAATTTCGAGAAATTCTAAGAGGAAGGTTTAATTTAGTACCCTACAGAAATGTGAATTCAACCATATTAATATTTTATATATTGTACATTCAGTATTTACAATGCGGCTCTCACACTTGAGACTGCCCACTTAATGAAAGTATGAGGATTAGTAATGGGAGGTGATCCCCAAGCAGCAACATACCATTAACCCCTTAGTGACTAGGCTGCTTTTCAATTTTCTTACAGACCAGGGATGTTTTTACATTTCTGCGGTGTTTGTATTTAGCTGTCATTTGACTCTTACTTATTTACTGTACCCACACATTATATACCAATTTTTTGTCATTAAATGGTCTTTCTAAAGATACCATTATTTTCATCATATCCTATCATTTACTATAAATTTTTTTTATAAAATATGAAAAAAAAACAACTTTAACTTTGACCCCCCAAATCTGTTACGCATCTACAACCGCCAAAAAACACCCATGCTAAATAGTTTCAAAATTGTGTCCTGAGTTTAGAAATACCAAATGTTCTTAGCTTTTTTTGGAAAGTTACATTTTAACACTATCTGTCAGGAATCACTGAATAACCCTTCACATGTATATATTTTTTAAAAGAAGAAAACCTAAGGTATTACACTTGAGGTATTTTGACTACTTTCATGCAACCATTTTACCACCAATCTATGCCAAATTGAAAAAAGAAATTGTGAAAAAATTTTTATTTATTTTTTGTCACACATAGCAATTTAAGAATACATGTACAAACTTTAAGGGTTACTGCCAAAGAACATCCCAATATGTGTTCACCAACATCTCCTGAGTACAGTGATACCACCCATGTATAGGTGTGTTGGGTTCTCTGGGGGCTAAAATACCTTATTTTCAGGGTGCGCATTCCAGTTTTCCAACTTGGAATTTTCACAGCTGTTCATCATGCACCCATGTCCTATTTGGGAAATTTTTGAAGCCGGCCAATGTAATTTACCCCCATCAAATGATATATTTTTGAAAAGTAGACAACCCAGGGTATTCAATATTGGGTATGTCGAGTCTTTTTTAGTAGCCAAAGTTAGCATTTATATTTGTGTGTTAAAAATGCAAAAAGCAATTATGAACGCTAACTTTGACCAGTGTTTGTGACTAAGTGGTTACTAAAAAAGACTGAACATACCCCATTTGCAATACCTTGAGTTGTCCTCTTTTGCAAATGGTATGCCATCATGGGGGTAATTCTCATTCCTGGGCTATCATACACTCTAAAAGGCAAATAACCAATCTGGAATGTGAGAAAACGGCCTTATATTTGAACCTGTAACTTTCAAAAATGCTATAAAACCTGTACAAGGGGGGTACTGTTATACTCGGGAGACTTCGCTGAACACATATTAGTGTTTCAAAACAGTAAAACGTATCACAACAATGATTTCATCAGTGCCGTTTGTGTGTGAAAAATGCAAAAAAACTTCACTTTCACTGACAATATCATCGCTGTGATATGTTTTACTGTTTTGAAACCCTAATACTTGTGTTCAACAAAGTCTACCGAGTAAAACGGTACCCCCATGTACAGGCTTTATGGTGTCTTGGAAAGTTAGTGTTAATTATAGTGCTAGCAATTTAAATTCTCTGGACTTTAGGCTTGGGTTGTCACGCAGGTCCCCCAAATTGCAATCAATAAAATTACTTAATTATGTAAAAATATTACATAAATTTATATCTATTTATGTAATTATATATGAGCATATGTATATTTCGTATTTTTATATATACATAGATATATATATAATTTTATCCTAAGTGTATTTTGATTTATATATATTATGAAAATACAGGTAGAATAAATGACATATACGTTTTTTAAAATTATTTTTACATTTTATTTTTAATTATTTTTATAATATATATATATATATAAGAAAAAATATATATATATATAATATATATATATAAGAAAAAATAAATATATATATATATATATATATATATATATATATATATATATACACACGTGTGTATTTTTATATTAATATATTTTATTTATATATATATATCTATCTATCTTTCTTTTACTGTTGACACCTATTGCGGCCATGTGGTCATATGGCCCCTGAGGGTCCTAATTTGCAGAGGGGGGACTGTCTGGGCTGTCAGTGGAGCAGAAGACTAATCGCGGGTGGGGGAAGCCTGCCTGATGGCTTCCGATGCTCTGCACTACACTGCCAGGTGCACGTGGAGCAACCCGGAAGTGATTATTCTGGGGGAGCCATCACCCGGTGTTCTCCGGTGGCCCAGCAGTGAGATGGGGTATTCCATGATGCCTCAACATCGAGGCATTGCTGCAAGACCGTCAGAGTGGCTGGAAGCATTCATGATCGCTTTCAGCACTCTAATTCCCTGCGGACTGATCCGGTAAGTCCACGGTCCTTACGGTCTGTTTCTTGACGGATGTACCTGATATGTCCGAGGTCGCGATGTGGTTAATAAAGTCGGAATCATGGCAAAACGCATTTGGTGACTAAACACCAAAACATTGGAGACTACATAACGGTTACTGGCAGGGCCGGTGCAAGGATTTTTGGGTACACAGGCGAGTCAGAGCACAGGCTCAGAGATTCTCAGCCTGTGCTCTGACAACATTGAAAGTCAGAGCCGTGAAGGAGCGGGTATGGCAAAGAGCTACTGATTAGTATAACATCAATATCCGTTATAAAACCAGGCTTCCTGGCTTCCCCACTTCCTCTCATCTAGCAGTCCTTCCCTTATACTTGGGGATTTCAATATCCCAATCAACAACCCCAATTGCCCTGATGCCTCTCGCCTGCTCACTGTAACCTCCTCCTTTGGCCTTACACAATGGTCCAATTTAGCAACCCATACAGCTGGAAACACTCTTGATCTCGCTTTCACCAACCTCTGTACTGCTTCTAATCTCTCCAATATTCCTTTTCCTCTATCTGACCACCATCTGCTGACTTTTGACATTGGCATACCGAAGACCCAATTGACACCACCATCTGAACATCACTCTCACAGAAACCTCTAATGTCTTGACCTAGAGCATTTCTCTACTAATCTCCAAACTCTCCTTTTACCTATCTAAAACCTCACCTGTCACCTGTTAGTTCTGCAACCTCGTTCTAAAATACCACCCTCTCCTCTCAACTAGACATCATGGCACCTTCTACATTTAAATGCCGCAGGTGCCCCCAACAACAACCCTGGCACACCAAGCTCACTCGATACCTCCAAAATTGCTCCAGAACTGCTGAACGCTGTTGGAGAAAGTCTCACTGTGCATCTGACTTTCTCCACTATAAATTTATGCTGAGCTCATACAGCTTGGCTCTTTCCTCTGCAAAAGTTAATTACTTCAGTACCCTCATAACCACAATCTCCCGCGAACCCAAATGACGATTTTACACATTTAAATCTCTTCTTCGCCCTGTTGTTCCTCCTCCACCTACCAACTTGACCGCCTCAGACTTTGCAACTCACTTCACTGACAAGATTTCTACAATCAGGGAAGAGATCTCTCATCTTTCTTCTTCCCCTAGCTTCACTCCCTCTGCTGTTCTATGTTCATTCGCACCCGGTACATTGGAAGAGGTTTCTGCTCTGCTCCAGTCCTCCCACCACCTGCTCCCTAGATCAAATTCCCTCGCATCTCATCCGTACTCTGTCTTCTTCTCTTTCTCTGCCTCTCACTAAAATTCTCAATCTCTCTCTCTCCTCTGGTATATTTCCATTGCCCTTCAAACATGCAACTGTAACCCCAATTCTAAAGAAGCCCAACCTTGACCCTAACATCCTATCTCGCTACTGCCTTTTGCATCCAAGATCCTTGAAAGAATTGTGTATGCGAGATTGACAGACTTCCTTGAGTCCAACTCTCTGCTTGACTCGCTTCAGTCTGGTTTCCGCGCTAAGCACTCTGTGGAAACGGCACTGACCAAAGTATCCAATGATCTACTCACTGCAAAATCTAGTGGTCACTACTCTATCCTAATTCTCCTTGACCTGTCTGCGGCTTTTGACACTGTTGATCATCAACAGCTTCTTCTCATCCTCCGCAATATCGGTCTACAAGATGCTGCTCTCTCCTGGTGCTCCTCCTACCTCTCCCAGCGCTCTCTGTGTTTCTTTCTCTTGCTCTGCATCTTCTACCCAAGTCCTCTCTGTTGGTGCCCCCCAAGGTTCAGTCCTTGGTCCCCTACTGTTCTCCATCTATACTGCCTCCCTTGGTAAACTCATTAGCTCCTTTGGCTTCCAATATCATTTCTATGTAGATGACACGCAAATCTACCTGTCCTCTCCTGATCTCTCCCCGTCCCTCTTGACTAGTGTCTCTGATTGCCTCTCTATTTCTAACTGGATGGCTGCCCACTTCCTTAAACTAAACTTGACCAAAACTGACATTCTGGTCTTTCCTCCCTCAAGTGTTGTTACTCCTGTGTCTGTCTCCCTCCAAGTCAACGGTGCTACTATCAGCTCCACCACACAGGCTCGCTGCCTATGTGTTCTCTTTGACTCCGACCTCTCCTTCAAGCCTCATGTTCAGTCTATCCCCAAATCCTGTCATTTCCATCTCAAAAACATTGCGCGCATCCGCCCCTATTTAACGCCAGATGCGACTAAGGTGTTGGTCCATTCCACTGTCCTTTCTCGCCTTGACTACTGTAATCTGCTTCTCAGTTGTCTTACGTGCTCCCAACTTACAGTTGCGCCGTTACAGTCCATAATGAATGCGGGGGCGAGGCTCATCTTCCTGTCTGCCCGCACCTCCCATGCCTCACCCTTCTGTCAGTCCCTACATTGGCTTCCTATAAGATATAGAGCTCAATTTAAAATTCAGATTCTTGCTTTCAAATCTCAGCATAATGCTGCTCCCACCTATCTATCCTCCCTTATACACAAGTATGTCCCATCTAGGCCCTTACGATCTGCTGAAGACTTACGTCTATCTTCTGTCCATACTCCCACCTCTGTTGCTCACCTTCAAGATTTCTCGAGGGCTGCACCATTCCTGTGGAACTCACTTACCTCATCCATTAGATGCTCACCCAGTCTCCACTCCTTAAAAAAAAAAAAAAATCTTTAAAAACCCACTTCTTCATAAAAGCGTATCAATTAAACTGTTAATAGCTCCTGACTGCTTCCTTTTCTGCAACTGTCACTAGTCTAATACTATCCTTACCTTTTGTGTCATTTTACCCCACTCCCTCTAGCATGTAAGCTCATTGAGCAGGGCCCTCAATCCCTCTGTTCCTGTGTGTCCAACTTGTCTGGTTACAACTACATGTCTGTTCGTCCATTCATTGTAAAGCGCTGCGGAATTTGACGGCGCTATATTAACATAATAATAAATCTCAATGTATCCATCCTGGTAAAAATGTTTTATAAATAATCTATAATTGCCTTCAGTAATTAACTTACTAGTTGTTTTTTTATGTCTGCAGAGCAGCATTTTTTTCTCATAACAGTCTTCACCATTGTGTGTCATGTTAGAGATCTATGTATTCATATTTCAACTTGCAGATCATTATTCAAAACCTCAGTGTATAGAGAAATTGAAAATTAGTAATACACTGTAATGAACAAGGAATAACAAACATGGCATACTGTGTCAGGATCTCCTGATATGCCGGTGTTAGCTAAATTAAGGCTGGTCGTTACAAATAGTTGCCACCAGGGAATATAACTATCCCCAATCAAACATATGTCCCAAGGCTGCCATACGTTTAAAGAAATCTTAATCCTAGCAAAAACTAACTTAGGGTGTTACCCAAATCTCCAAAACAAACACACTAAGCCTATCGCTACCAAAAATTATGTAAAAATAGATACAGAATAGTGAAGCAATCAAACACACATTTGAGTTGCTGTAAATTATCCAATAGACAATGGTATTAAAATATACTGCAATGCTTCCTCATGTTGTACAGTACACACAAAAACACAGACATGCATACACACGTTTTATCCTCAAAAATGCATTGTTTGGTATAGAATGTTGGCTTACCATGCCTACACACGGTCCATATCTGAGAGAAGACATTGTAAAAGAACTTAAGTAACACTTCAAACTGTTTTAACAGGGAAGCCTTGTGTTTTGCCTTGCAGTGCCTTGAATATATCCTTCGAGGCAAAGAGGATTACAGAATGTTGCATTTTAGTTTTTTTTTTCGGTTTTTTTTTTTTTTTTTTGTTTTCTCCACTTATATCCAACATCTAGAAAGTTATTTTCATCTTCAGTTTAACTTAGTGACCAATTTCCTTAATATTAAAACGAATAGCTTTTGTGTTTTTTTCTGTTTTTTTTTTTACCAAAACGTAGTCTTGATTGTCTTATTTTAAAGTGGTAACTTTTTATGATTATGATTTACTGGGCTTCGTTATGAATAGAAATCAATAATATTTCTGTGAATGGAGAAGCGGTAAACCTGGGTTACTAGTATACTTTAGTGAGTCAGAATACTGTGTGCTATATTTGTCAAAAGTAATGTATGAATTTGCGCAGATCTGCCAATCCTATGTGAAGATATACGAAAACATTGCCCATCACCAATATGCAGCACCAAGGCTCTTAACACATGTGGAATGAAAATACGGTCTCTCAGATATATTCTGAACTGACATTATTAGATTTGAGTATTGGAGAAAGAAATGTGAAACATTAGTCTCTTACATCCATCCAGGTGCTATTTTGTGTATTTTTGCCTTTTCTGAATGTATGTGTATTTTTAGAATGTTTTTAACAGCTGTTTACATTTCCTAGATTGTTTACCATGGAAATCCATACGCACCGCACAACTCTTCAGCATACCTGATCTATGAGAGAGGAGTGGAAATTGGCTGCTGGGGCATGTGCATAAATGCAATCTCCTCTTCTCTTTATTCCTGTAAGTAATTCAATCAGTACATCCATTCACATTAAAACCATACATACTGCATATGCATTCTTGCCTTGACAACCCCCGTTTTGCAACTTAATCTCTATGACCTGATTTCCTAATCCACATGGTAGATTTAGGTATGTATTCATGTATCCAAAAGAAATACAATCCCCAGTAATATGCAGCAAGTTGGATTGCATGACAAAAATCCACCTCAATAAATCCAACATTAATGTGCAATGTATTAAGGGAACACTATAGTTTTAGTAAGACAAATGTGCATTCCCAATGATGGTGACCACCTGCATGGAGAAATGTCTTTTTGTCTCCTTTTCTCCCTTGCAGCACCGGTGTTTGCGTTTCCCATCCTGCCTCACATAGGAAAGCATTGGGAGGCTAGTAAGCATGTGGGGCAACAATCCTCTCCAATCAGATGATCTCTTTAAACCATAGATATTAGTCCGCTATTTTATCAGGAGCACTTCTAGTGGCCGTCATTAAGATGATGTGGTCCATTTAGAGAGCTGTAAGCTTCACAGTGACCCACAGTGTGTATTCATGTGCTACAGCTTGCTGCAATGTTGAATGTGAGGTACTGTATACAGGAGTAAAGGTCAGATTAATATTTCTCATTGAAGTGGTCTGGGTGCACTGTTCCTGCCTCCTTAGTCCCACAATGTAAATCTTTGTAAATTTAGAAAAACTGCAATAATTACTTTGCAGCACTAAGACTGCCTCTAGTTGCTGTCAATCAGATGGTAACTAGAGGTACTTCCTGGATGCTACCGGACTCCTGGTCACTTAAATGACGCTGGACATTTTCACGCTCTGCACTCGTCCGTGAAATCCCCATTAAATGTTGGAGGAGGTGGAGCGCTGACCTAGCACCGAGGGACATTGGTGCTCGATCCAGGTAAGTGACTAAAGTTTTATTTGAACTCTTTAGCTGTAGAAGGGTTGTAGGGCATGAGGAAAGGTGGGAGGGGGGTGAGGAGGGCAGAGTGTGTTATATTGTTAGGGATACAGATCTGTATTCCTAACTCTATAGTATCCTTTTAAGGTTACCTTTGCAGGAATGTGTCTTACAGCTCTCAAGCAATACGTTTCAAAATACCTTCCAACATCGGTGTCAGATTTGTACATGGGGCATCACTAATGCCATAAGGGGTGGTCTGGCCTAAAAAGCAGCATGTCAATGCGCCAGTCTGACTGTCCATCATGCTGACACATATTACTCATGGTTTTGCATGGGCAGAGCACTGTTGAAGCACAGGGGCCTTAAGTACAGTTTATGTAGTGTTAGGATGTCTTATGACTAGAGTTGAGCGAACCCAGACTGTAAAGTTCGGGTTCGTACCGAACATTGTTTTTTGGACCCCGGACCCGAACACTGACCTATCACTGTATGTTCGGGTTGGAGTTTGGTGATTTAATGGCGCATTTTCAAAGGCTGCAGGGCAGCCAGTCAACAAGCGTTTGACTCGTATGCCCTTAGAAGCCATCACAGCCATGCCTACTAATGGCATGGGTGTGACTGGCTAGTGCAGCATGTGACCCAGCCTCTATATATATATATATATAAAAGCTGGAGTCGCATAGCGCCGCACACACATGAGGTCTTATTGGTGTAGGGAGAGGATGATGCCGCTGTGAGGGACAGCTTAGGAGAGAATTCTGCAAACTAGTACATTAGAGGAGTGCACTTCATAAAAAATTTTAGGTGCTAAATAGTACATTTGCGGCCTGCGGTGCATTTCTTGCAGTCCAATAAACTAAAAAAAATTAAAATAAATTGTTGACTGTTGGCGGTTACATTGTCACCTGACATAAAATGTTAGTTTGATGGGTGAACGCAAAGAATGAGGAGAGCGTCAAATAAGGGACGTGGCCCTGGTCGTGGTGCTGCTGGTGTTGGTGGAATTCCTGTTGCAAGGAGAGGACGTGGTCGATCTGTGCCAGCTACACACACAAGTGAAACACCTTCCTCATGTGCGAGTAGGCGACAGAACCTTCACCGTTATTTGGTAGGCCCGAATACCACTGTACGAATGGTGAGGCCAGAACAAGTACAGGCGATAGTAAATTGGATGGCTGACAGTGCCTCCAGTTCCTGCACATTGTCTCCCACCCGGTGCCCTGCTGAAAGCTCAGAGTTGGCACCTGCAGCCCATGGCCATCTGTCAATCACCTCACCCCCTTGCAAATCACCCAAGCAGTCTGAGCCACAAGCCATGCAGCAGTCTCTTATGCTTTTTGATGACTCTGCTGGCGGGGTGAGCCATCCAACTAGCCCTGCACCAGAAGTGGAAGGGATTAAATGCACTGATGCACAATCACTTATGTGTCAGGATGTGGACATGCAAGTACCACCGCAGCACGTCTCTGATGATGAAACACAGGTGCCAACTGCTGTGGCTTTTGTCAGTGTGCAGACAGGGTTGAGGAGTGGGTGGAAGATGATGTGGAGGATGATGAGGTCCTAGACCGCACATGGAATGAAGGTCATGCGAGTGACGTTTCCAGTTTGGAGGAAGAGGCGGTGCTGGCACAGAGGCACCCGCACAGCATAAGAGGGAACAGGGTGCAAAAGCGGAGCTGCCGTCCCCTAGACGGTACACCTGCTACTGCCCACCGCACCCAGGGACCATGCATACCAAAGCCAGCTCCTAGGAGTTCCCTGTCATGGCAGTTCTTCAGACAATGTGCTGATGACAAGACACAAGTGGTTTGCACGCTGTGCAATCAAAGCCTGAAGCGAGGCATAAACATGCTAAACCTGAGCACAACCTGCATGACCAGGCATCTACATGTAAGCACCTCAAAAACCAAGAAAGGTCTCAGGCTCCTCCTGCTTTCTCTTCTGCTGCTGTCTCTGCCTCTTCCTCCACCTCTGGAGTCACAGTGGCACTTGCCACCCTGCAAACAGAGGATGTGGCAGCAATGCCAACACGTCTGCCACCGTCCCCAACCATCTCCACACTGTCCCATGGAAGCGTTCAGCTGTCCATCTCCCAAACACTGGAGAGAAAGAGGAAGTACCCCCCTAGCCACCCGCGATCCTTTGCCCTGAATGGCAGCATTTCAAAATTCATGGCCTTTAAAATGCGGTCATTCTGTCTGGTGGAGACGGATGGTTTTAAAATCCTGATGGCGGTGGCTGTCCCACAGTACGTGGTTCCCAGCCGCCACTACTTTTCCAGACGAGCCATTCCTTCCCTGCACAACCAATTGTCGGAAAAAATCAGGTGTGCACTGCGCAACTCCATCTGTGGCAAGGTCCACATAACCACAGATACGTGGACCAGTAAGCATGGGCAGGGACACTATATCTCTTCTAACTTATGCTGATTACTGGGTGGCAACCCTGCAGGATCCCCGTTACAAGGACAACATGCCGTCCTTAATTCCCTCACTGGACCGTGATCGGCAGATGCGCAACTACAAGCGCACACTGGTAGACATGCTGCTGAGGGCAATCCCAACTGACACCGGTGGCTCAGTGTAAGCACAAGGCGAAGGCAGAGGAGGAGGAAGAGTTCGCCAACACAGCTGGGGGACCGCCAGCACCTCAGAAGGCAGGGTTAGCATGGCAGAAATGTGTCAGCACGCCACAACAACCAGCACCACCATCTGATATGGAACGTCTTAGCAGGAGGCAGCATTTCAGCAACATGGTGGAATAGTACGTGTGCACACGCCTACACGTACTGACTGATGGGTCTACCCCATTCAACTTCTGGGTCTCCAAATTGGGCACATAGCCTGAGCTTGCCCTTTATGCTGCCTCCTCCTCCTCCTCCTCCACCTACACCACCACAGTGTATACCCAGATATATCAGAGCTGGTGCAGAAAGTGCGGGCCGTGCAGCGTAACTTCAGCCTTCCCACTCACCGCCTCATGAGACTGTGTGCGAGCCGCAGCAAGCGATAATGGAGTTTCAGCTGCAGCGTGCACGGGTCAGTCGCTCTGCGGAACAGATTTTTTTCTTTTTTTTTTTCTATGTCACAATATTTTGGGGGCTACCCCAATTAAAAAAATAAATATAATTATATATATATATATATATATATATATATATATATATATATATATATATATTTTCTCCTCCTTTTCTCTCCCCTCTCCCCCCTCTCTCCCTCTCCCCCCTCTCCCCCTCTCCCCTCTCCCCCTCTCCCCCTCCCCTCTTCCCTCTTCCCCTCTTCCCCTCTTCCCCTCTCCCCCCCCTCTCCCTCCTTCACCGCCTCCTCAACCTATGGGTCACTTAGTATAAACTATGTACACAATAGCAGAGGATTTTGAAGGCCTTTTCTACATGCATCAGGAGTTGAGCATTTCTCCATGCATCAGGACTGCAAGAAGGCCGCAAATGTTTCTTTTTTTTTTTCTATGTCCCAATATTTTGGGGGCTACCCCAATTAAAAAAACAAACAAAAAAAAAAACAGTGTTGGCTACCTCCTCCTCCTCCACCGGCGCTTCCACCTACACCGCCACAGTCACCGCCTCCTCAACCTATGGGTCACTTAGTATAAACTATGTACACAATAGCAAAGGCTTGTGAAGGCCTTTTCTCCATGCATCAGGAGTTAAGCTCAGTTTGAACAATGAAAGAGAATACCCTGCACTCCAACCCTCTCTCAAATGGAAAATTCTGGTGATCCTCCTGACAGTCATGCTTTAGATTTTGATTTATGTTCTTCCAAAGCTAAAATCAAAGATTCCATCTAGTGCTATTTTATAGCTCAGCTGTATTTTTTATTTTTAGGTATGTTATGTTATTTTAAGTGATTTCTCTATCCACATTTGTTTGCAGGACACTTGTCCTACTCTTAACCCCATTTTACTTCCTTTTGCAGCCCTTGCCAGGACTTTTTAGAGGCATTTTTGTGGCCAAAAGTTCAGGTCCCTATTGACTTCAATGGGGTTCAGGTTCGGGGTCAAGTTCGAACACGAAACTGGACTTTTTTCAAAGTTCAGCTGGACCCGAACATCCAGGTGTCCTCTCAACTCTACTTATGACCACTTACTCAGGTCTTTCTTGGTTATTCACCAAAGTGAGACTTGCTTAGAATTCAAAGTGAATTTAAAATTTTAGTCAAAATTAGTGGAATTGAGAAAACTATCCAAGCCAGTTATGCTCCCAGATCAGTTACTGTGGTCTAAAATGTGAAATTCACTACGAGTTCTTGACAATTCTGACTTTAGTGAATAACTGTGTAGGTTTCTAGTGTCCCCAGCAGAGAACACCAGAGTCCAAAATATTCAAGGTATGGTTTTAGTGTCATGCAGGGCCAATCCTAGGGTCACTGGCTGGGTGCATGAATATGTTTGGCGCCCACAGGTGGGCATGGTTATATTGCTAACTCCTACCCTTTTAAAGTAGCATTTTCAATAGAAACCATTCCACCTCTTTGCCCCACCCCTCAACTTCACCAGATAACATGTCACCCACTTCCTACAGTGCCACCTTTATCCCCCAAAATCTTATCAATGCCATCTTTGTGCCCTGCTTCCCAGTGCCATTTCTGTTCCTATAAATCATTCCAGTGTCCTCTTTGTCCCAAAATAGCTAATCCGCGTTATCTTTGTGACCAAATAGCTTATCAGTGGTCCAGAACCTAATCTCAGTGGGGGCACTGGTAGTGGGCTGTGGTGGGGTGATTTGGGCTGTAATTTAGGAGTTAAGGGTTGTAGTAGGGAGCTATGAACTGTAGTGGGGGATGGGGGTTATTGTGTAGAGGTAGGAGCTATAGTGGAGGGTATAGGCTATACTTGATGGGTTAGGAAATGTAGTGGGAGATAGGGACTGTAGTAGGGGGTTAGGGGCTGAAGTGGGGGAGTGGCTGCAGTTGGGGAGAGGAGCTGTGGAGGAGAGTATAGGGACTGTAGTAAAGCAATAGCAGCTGTAGGAGGGGATAAGGGCTACAAGTGGGGGATAAGCTGTAGTGTGAGGGATAGGGGCTGATATTGGGGGTTAGGGGCCATAGTGGTGAATCGGAACTACACTTGGAGTTTAGGAACTGTAGAGGGAATAAGACTCTTGTAGGTGGTTAGGGACTGGTGTAGTGTGTAAGGGCTGCAATTGGGGGTTAGGTGCTGCTACAGGGGGTTAGGTGCTGCTACAAGGGGTTAAGGGCTGTAGTTAGGAGGGTTAGGGGCTGTAGTGTGGGGGGGGATTGGGCTGTAGTGTTGTATAGGGGCTGAAATTAGGGTGTTGTGAGCTGAAGTGAGGGGTTATGAGCTGCATTTGGGGGTTAGGGACTATAATAGGGCTAAGGGCTAATATAAGGGGGGAGGTAGGGGCTGAATAAAAAAATTGTTTATTCCCCCCTCTCTAATTGCTTAGTTTTGGCCAGGGAGGGATATTCTGATTCCTGGTGGTCCTAGGTGCAAAGTGCAGAGCCCAATTTGGGGGTAGAGACCATCACAAGGGGCAGAGCTGAGGATCCGCTCTGGTGTCATTCCTTCTGACTGTCCCCAGATTGAGAGAAAAAGGCATATTTCCTATCCAAATTGCAGCTAGTTCCATAAATCAATTATATACAAATGCCGCAGTGCTTAACCACAATGAAACAAACCTATGACCAAAAAATGCCAAGGAAATGGGCACCCAGAGAACTTCTTTAGTTCAAAAATAAACTTTATAGTCTGCGTTTTAGACCCAATCCTGGTCCTTTCCTAAAACTTGAGAAAGAATTATATAAAATCCTCAACACTTTATTCTATTATGATGTCAGTCAATACCCTATGGATCTCATGACTCATGAAGTTTGATTCTAAGTACTATTGAGAGGCATTTTTATTTTCTCACTGGGGCATTGAATTTTTGTTTTGATTGACTGTCACTGGTTGACAGTTAAAATGTCTCATACTGCAGTTTAGCTAAACGTGACATCTCCTACTTTAACACTGCTGTGTAATATGTACAAGCATATACCCAATTGTAATCCTCGAGTGCCAAAACAATAACTTTAGCACACTCTTGGAATGGATACAGTTGGCGATCTCTATGTTCTATTCATTTCATTGTTATTTTTCAAAACTTTAATTCCACTTTATTTATTGTGCATTATGTTTCATACAAAGGTTAGCTTCAACCAAGATAGATCAAATTTGAATTTAATAATGATCTTTACAATGCAATTCTATGAATAATAAAAATGATGGATCTGTTATACTTCCTCTTAGAAATAATTTTTGTAGGTATTTTAAATAATACACTAAGTTTTTTGGTGTATGTTTTATTTATTTTCCTATTCTGAATGTATCTTGTATATGTTTCAGATGTTCAGAAAGCACTACTTCCGTACATTGGACTGAAGGGTCTGTATTTTGTTGGATACCTCCTGTTCGGGCTTGGAACTGGATTTATTGGATTATTTCCCTATGTTTATTCCACCCTGGTTTTGTGTTCACTTTTCGGGGTGATGTCAAGTACCTTATACACCGTACCCTTTAATTTGATAGCTGAATACCACAGAGAAGAGGAAGTAAGTTATTTTTATCTATTTTTTTATTTAAACATGATATTTATTCTATATTATATAAATCAGTTGACACAATGCAACACAATTGAACCATGTTCATCCAAATCTAATCCATGCTTGAACTCTCCAATACCATTAAAGCAGATCCACTGTATAGCGAAAAAATTTAGAAAATGTTTTCCTCGATCTGTAAGCCACCCCACTTTGAAGCTCTGTTTGCTGCTCCACAGTTCAGATTTAATAACAATCTGAACATTTTCTGAATGGATTCTTCAGGATTGGATTTTTATGCTGCAGTTCAGACACCAGGTGGTGACCCATCCATTATTGACCTGTTTTCTGACCACAGCAGGGTAGGCTGCTAGAATCAATATCACGCCTCCATCCATTTACCCCGGTCATTTTCTTATATCCCGTTTAAGTATAACTACCTAAATCTGATATCTGCTTAAATCACCAGCAACTTCCATTTTGATTGTAACTTTTGTAATTCTGTAATTTACGTCTGATGTCTGCTCAACATATTGGCAATAGTGCTTTCTAAATTTAGGCAGTTATACTAAATGGCAACTAAGAAAAGGACCAATAAAAATAGAAAATTGGATTAGGATACCTTAAGTGAGCATTCAAAGTGAATTTCAAATTACAAGGAATGCTCTAACGTTAGGAATGCAAACATATGTTCCTAACATTAAAATGTGTTCCTAGTTATATGTTTGGCACCATAAATCATATTATTCATTGGTGAGCTTGTCTTGCTGTAGACCACTGTTCCTCCACTGCTAAAATCAACATTGTTGATGATCTCAGGCAACCCATTACTTCCCCAAAGGGAAGCATTAGGGGCTGTTGCGCATGTGAAGCAATTGTAACACAGTGCCCATCATCATCTCCTCATAGAGATGCTTTAGTAAAAAGCATCTCTATGGGGAGTGTTTAACATCTTCATGCAGAGTGTGAAGCCACTGAACGAACGTCCTGCAAAGACTGCAGGATATCACCAGTAGGCCTCTCTTTAGTGGTTATCTAAGTGACCGCTAAAAAAGGTGGCCTTGGGCACAAATGTAAACACTTTCTCTTCTCAGATAAAAAGCAGTGTTTACAATTGTCACCCTGCAGGGACAGGCTCTAAGCACAAGAACCACTACATTATGTTGTAAAATAACTGAACTGAAACATCCTCTAATGGTTCTACGACCTTTAATTGGAAATTTACTCAATTTAGTAAATAACCCTTATTATTCTAGCTGGGTCGTATAGAAGTGGGAACAAAGTGCCTAAATTTACCCTAGCAACTTGAAAACAGGGCTTTTTAGAGGGGAAAAAATGCATCGTATACCAAAAAAATGTGGGCATGATTTATGCAAACAATTAAACAGTGACATAGTTACATTAACTTGTTATTAATAAAATCATATATTCTACCTGCTTCATCTCCTCTACTCTTTGCCTGTGACCGTTTAGATGTAAATTTAATTAAACTTTTTAAATATGCATGCCAGCCTATTACAAGCCTCATTTTGCTTAATAAATATTAGATATACAAGAGAATGCTCATTACTTTAACAGATACACCTAAATGTCTTTACACTGTGCGGCTTCCACTCATCTAGCCTGCAATGCATCAGTGTCTCAAGGGAGGAGAATTCTACAGAAATATGTTCTCTATAATCACCATGCATTAAATAAGAGTACTAGCTGAGCTCTAAATTGCTCTCCCTAGTCAGCACTTTGCATTTATTTAGTAGCTAGTAGTTAGTTCTTTAGGACATCAACATTGTATATATTATAGGAATTTATGAGCATTTCTGCATTAATCACATGCATTTTATTTGTGCCAATGATTTCCTGAGGGGCACACTAGGTTCCTTCCATTTATTTTAATAGGCCCCACAAGTGGGGGCACCAAGGAACTCCCCACTTTATTAATATTTTAGGTTCTCCAGTATGGGGGCATGATGAACCTGTGCCATTGTATACATGACTGGGCAACAATAGTTGCTAGTCGCTTGTCTTTTAGTATAATAACGAGCAGCCACTGGCAAGTAGGGGCAGAAGGGAGGATTTAACCTTCCTAATACTAATTATGATGGGGCATGGTAAAGGGTAATTTAGGATTCTGTTTTTAAATATTACAAGGAGAGAGCTGAGAACTCCCTCCTTGTACTAAATGAAGAAACAAAGTAATAAATTGCATAGAAAAAATTCATTGTTACTTGCATTCATCCACCCTTCTTTCTGAAGAATTGATTAATTTCTGAAAATTTGGATGAAAATAAATAAATAGCTGCCTAGTTTTTTATGCTGTTTACTAAACATGCCCCATACTCACGGCATGGTGGGTAGGGACAGAAGGGGGATGTAATTTACTAATACAAAGTATTTTCTGCTTAGTATTGGCAAATTTGTCGAAAAGTCCAAAAAGGGCTTTTTGTAATTTTGTATCTTTCCGCTTCTTAGTATCTCCTTAATCCTTATCTGGGATTGCCATAAGGACTCCAAATAAAGGACCGATCTACTAAAAAGCTTCCTAATTTGCTACTCTTAAATAAAGCATTCTCACAAGGGTACCAATTTAGGGTGTTATCTGCTAATTGGCTGTAAAATGTAGCCACTGCAAGGATTGTGGAATTTATTTGAAATCAAAATCCAAAACATATATAATAAATTTTGTCCGAAAGCAAATTAATAAATGACATTTTGTTCAGACAAAACAAAAATGTTGGTGGTGCCCAAATCTAATGATTTCCTGTGTGCTACACTATTTGGTTCTTGTATTAATAATAATTAATATTATTGATTTTTATATAGCACCAGCTTTGTTCTGCAGTGCTTTACAATAAAATTCAAGCCTTCTATGAGAGAGCACCCTAGCTTATCTAAATGTTTTAGAGCCACATGGTATAAGTAAGCATTGGTTTAGTATTTATTCCCCTCATTAAATAGGTATGTGCGTTATATATATTTAACCTGAATTTTGCATTTTTTGCAGATTACTGTTAGTTTTAAAGACATATACATTTGAGTACATTAGAAGCAAATGTACAAGTTGAAATTCATAACATTTACAAAAGCATTGACGTACAGTAATCTCGATATTTGTTTTTCTTAACAATTCAAATTCTATAAAGTATTAGATGAAACCATGAAGATATGGTAAAACGTACATGAGTTGTAACTCCAGTAATACAAAATACACATATATTCTCTCTAAATAAAACAAAAATATGGAAACATTCTTAGATTAGAGTTTTAAGATGAATGTGTTTTTCTCACTGGGATCAAAGTAGCATAATTTGAAGAGATGCCAAAAATAATCATTTAATGACTGGCCACCAGTCTTTTTTTTTTTTTTTTTTACTCCTTGGGTGCTATGGGTACATTGAGCTAAACCAATTTGGCACTACTCCTATCAGATTGTCTGTAATTTGTCTCTGAGTTCAGGAATTCCCAATTGGCCCAAATTCGCAGTTGGCCTGAAACTAATCTCCAAGTGTAGAGAAAATGTGCTCATAAAGATGTGCAGTTGTGCTTATGGTGGCATTGCAATAGTTAACGAGTATGGTGGCTGAGTTGGCAAAAATCAAAGCTCTCTGACTTGTATTTCAGTTATCCACTTTCTTCTTTTGAAAGATACTAGCTGAAGTATAATGCAATGTCCCTATTAACAGTTTTCTGTGAACCTCACAGAAACCGATCAATTTAATGAGACATCTCAAATGTGTGATCTTGGCTGTGTGATTAAAAAAAATTCACTATTTTCACTTTAGCCTCCTTAACCAATTTTATATCCGCTACGCATTGTTTCTTTGCCATGGGTAGGCATGTAATCATACTCAATATTGCTTCAGATTTAATCCATCAAAAGCTGAAATGAGTTACATACAATGATCAGCCACAACATTAAAACCACTGATTATATTGTTTCAGTGGCATCTGTCAAGATGTGAGATATATTGGGCAGCAAGTAAACGGTCAGTTCTTGAATTTCATGTGTTGTGAACAGGAAAAATGGTCCAGTGGAAAGATCTACGTGACTCTAAAAACAGCCAAATAACGATGGCTACATGACTGGGTCAGAGCATCTTCAAACAGCAAGTCTTGTAGGGTGATCCTGGGATGTAGTGGTTCATACCTACCAAAAGTGGTGCAAGGAAGGACAACTGGTGAATGCTCACTATGGGAAGATGGCAGTTTGGTGTTATGTTCTGGGCAATGTTCAGCTGGGAAATCTTTGGTCCTGGCAATCATGTGGATGTTACTTTGACATGTACCACCTACCTAGAAATTGTTGCAGACCGTGTACAACCCTGATGGCAGTGGTCTCTTTCAGGAGGCTAAAGCACCCTGCCACACAGCAAAAAATGTTCAGGAATGATTTGAGGAACATGACAAAGAGTTCAAGGTGTTGCCTTGGCCTCCAAACTCCCGAGATCTCAATCAGATTGAGCATCTGTGGGGATTTACTGGAATAGCAAATCTGATCCATGCAGGTCCCACCTCACAACTTGCAGGGCTTAATGGATCTGCTGCTAATGTCTTGGTGCCAAGTATCACAGGAAACATTCAGAGGTTTTGTGGAGTTCATGCCTCAATGCATCAGAGCTGTTTTGGCTGCATGAGGGACACCTACCAGATATTAGGTAGGTGGTTTTAATGTTGTGACTGATCAGTGTACTTTACTTAGAATATCAGATCTGTTATCTTCTACTGTACCTTTTTTTAGCTATTTTATTAGACCACTGATTTTATAAATGTATCAGTATTCAAATCTTGAGCTGTAAGCAGACCGTAACTCTAAAGTTCTATTGCATGTGTGTGTTTTTGTTTATTTTTGCGACATTTATTATGGATTTGAAAACGTTTTAGCTTATATTTTATTTTCACTTCTTATAAATGTGTATATTTTTCTATGTAAACCTAGAATATTTAGCTCATATGTACATACTCATGTAATCCAAATGCAAATAATGTTGTTTTTAAGCAGAAGGCCGGCATAGGACAGTGGGTAAATACAAATGGAGGTGACCAATGATTAAACTCTGGTGCCATAACTCCATACATTAGAGAAAAAAAATCTCATGATATTCTCCTTTAAAAAAGCATGTTTGCTTCAATCACAATACCTTGCTTGAGTTTCGTTTGAGAGTTGTTTCTGAATTTTGTCTGTTATTAGCTGTGGGTTTTTTCAACATAATTACAACCCAACAATGTCTTCACCTTTGCTAATTATAGTGCTGCTGATGTTAGAAACTATTAACTCTAAACTGTACTTTTGTTGAGATTGATAAATTATCTGATTTCAAGATCAATATACAGAGATTGCGAGGTTTATGAGAAATAAAATGACTTTTTGCAGGCTTTGGAATTGCATCACAATAGAAAATAGGTGATCTGTGACGTTACCTTGTTTTCCAAATTGCAATTGAGATCTGTATGCGTTCCTTTAAGCTGTATGTGTTCCTTTTAATGTTCAAAGCAGTCATTTTGAGTATAGTGGACATGGGTATTTGTAGTGAACAATGATCAATTTTGCCAAATTACATTCGTTCAAAGGGACAGCGAACGTTAGTTATGTGTCAGGAGTGCCATGGCACTCTCACAGAGTAAATAGGCAAGCCGTTTAAGAAATATTTTCCAACTTAACTGGGGTCTTCCACATGCCCGTCGCAAACTTCCCTTTTGCCAGAAGCTCTAGAGATCTCAACAGTTTCTTTGAGCGAAGTCCTGCTGTGCAGAGTCAGCTTGTTTGCGGAGTGTGTCCGCTTAGCATTCTCAGCCAGTGAGTGTGGCATTGCATGGCTAGACCTTGCTCAGTGTCAGAGCTTCTGAAAACAGAGTTGGCGGTGGAAGTGCCTAGCAGATCCTAAATGCAAGCCAAGACACTCTTGAATGCTTAGAGTAAGTAATCAAGGAGGACAAAGCTCTCTGCACAATAACTACTGTAGCTTTAATCAATTAGAAGACATCAGTAGATGTTTTTGCAATCCAATATGGCGAGGTGTGTAGTTTTTGTGCTGTTCATGCACATTACCAAGTTTGGTCATTTTTGGTATACACATTTAATTTGCTGAAAAGCATTCTAGTGGTTATCAGGTCCTTTTTTTGGCATGGTATACTTTCTAAATTGTGTAAAAAAACAAAACAAAAAACCCAACCCCCCCTCCCCCCCCCCAAAAAAAAAAAAATAACCAAACACCTTTTCACTAGACTCCATAGTTCCTTCAAAGGTGAATATTCAGCAATGACATACCTGAGAATCCAAGAGTGTTATTTACTAAAGATCAGGAACCTGGGTCAATTTAGGACCTAGAACGATTGAGGTGTTTATTCTAGACAATTTGCATTTTAGTAGACCAGAGAATTATTTTTCCACCTTTAAAATTATCAACAATGCAGAATAAAGACCATGGGCTGGACTCATTTGACCAGGACTACTGCGTTTGGGAAACTTTCAGTGCATTTGAATTGGGTCTAAGACTGCAAGGTTGGACTCTTTACCAACCTTGAAGGCAAATTGCTGCCATAAGATGAGGCTATTAACAAGAAGTGACTAGAGAACACCCACAGGTTTCCAATGTTGTCACTGTTTCTTAGCCCCTTAATTGTCCAAATTCTAATCAAAACAAACCCTAGAATTTGAATGTGTAAGTTCAATCATAATTTACATCTTTCATATTAGGTGAGCTCACACATACTATATATGTTTGTTCAGGAGAAACTCCTATAATTGTATCCCTACTAGCATTAGGACATTCATTGTGTCATACTGTTGAGTACATTATTTTTGTATCCTCTATTTTGACACTGGGTGTTGTGTATACTAAATAGTCGTTTAACTTCTATTTATTCATAACTTATATTTCAAGGTCAAAATACACCTTATGTAAATATACACCTACCATCTAAAGCTTGGAAGCACCTATACACCTACTGGTATCCCGTATTTATCTTTTGTGAATACTGTTGGCTTTTACTGCCAAAATACACATTTGTGTTCAGCAATGTCTGACTAGTACAATACCCCCCATGTACAGATTTTAGGGCTTTCCATTTTCCAGTTTTTACACGTTGATATTTCCCAAATTAGTTTGCTGCTATGTTGAGACCATATAACAGGCCAGGAATGAACATTATCCCTATCATTGCATACCATTTGCAAAGCAGACAGTCCAGAGTATTCAAAATGGGATATGTCCAGTCTCTTTTAGTACCCACTTACTCACATACCCTGGCCAAAGTTAGCATTTATATTTTTTATTTTTTTTGTATTTTAATTAATTTATTACTTGGGCATGTGTGTGTGTGTGTGTGTGTGTGTGTGTGTGTGTGTATATATGTATGTATGTGTATGTGTGTATATATATATATGTGTGTGTGTGTATATATATATATATATATATATGTGTGTGTGTGTGTGTATATATATATATATATATAAATAATTTTTTAATTTCCATGTTGGAGGACTCTGACCACACAGGCAGTCCCCACTATTGCAGGCAGTGATTTAGTCAGCCAATCCAGCTGTGTTTTTGTGATGTCATAGTGATCACATGGCCTGGAAGGGCCAGATTGACTGCAAAAGGACTGCCTGGGTTGTCTAGCAGTCCCCCCAATCACGATCACTAGGAAAGTATGCAGACTCTGATGGGCTTCAAACCTTTACGGCGTACTATGCTGCAGTAACAGCGTTTAAAGCCACTTTGTGCAGGATGGCATAGTACACTGTAATGCTGTTAAGGGGTTAATGAATGACTGCCTGTAGCATTTGTTTGCAATGATATTGACCAATCACAGACGATCCACTTGCTGGTAATGCATCGTACACCCAGTGTGTAAATAGTCACCATAGCAACCACATCTTGCCAGTATAAAAGGTACACATTAAGTATGCTTTACTCTGTGATTAGTCTTCGTGTCTGTGTATACAATGTAATTAAACTGTGTTTTTGTGCTATGCCATTTTGTGGATTGTTATAAATTTACATGACACATGCATTTTACTTACAGAGTGAATATTTAATGTTTATATCATGTTTCTGCCTTTTCTGTAAATTTGTTAGTTTAATATCGTTTTAATATGCTTTGAAAAGTGCTTCAGGTTTCAATATATATGTCTATAGGTAACGTATTGTTTTCTATAGGAATCATAGGGACCTAGCTTTTAACAATTGGCAATTATAATTTCCAGCTCAAAGAGAAATGAAAGACTGTAAGACTAGTTGATTACAGTCCAAACTAAAATATCACAAATAAAACATTTCAATCAGTTTCTTTAAATGCACGATACAGTAATTCACAACCTGTTTTTTAAAATATTTACCCCAGGTTGTCTGTTAATTTTTTTTATTTTTGAGCTGTTTGTATTCAGTGGCCAATATTATTGTTGATCGTAAATGTTAACTTTTAGCTTTGAAATGTAAAAATTCAAAAAAAAAATTCATGTTTCAAACCGAAGCTCCTTGTAATTAGAGATGTCTCGAACCGTCCGCGAACTTCTCGCGAACGGTTCGCGGCGGTCCGTTCGCGGCGAACTCTGTTCAGCTGACACATCCCGGCCAATATCCGGCTGACCCTCCCTCCCAGACCCTCCCACCTCCTGGACAGCATCCATGTTGAAGCTGCCTTCAACATGGATGCTGTCCAGGAAGTAGGAGGGTCTGGGAGGGAGGGTCTGCCGGAGATTGGCTGGGATGTGTCAGCTGACCGGAGTTCGCCGCGAACGGACGGTGGCGAACTGTGGCGAACCATTCGCGAGAAGTTCGCGGACGGTTCGCGACATCTCTACTTGTAATATGTGACTAGTAACTACCAAACGCAGATTCGATCTTGTTATGAACGGTTCTGGTAAAATCTAGACAAATCTGTCATTACTAATTTATCCCCAGGAGGGATAAGCCAAATGGCAAATGATTTAGGTAAACTAGAAAAATGGTCAGAGCTGTGGCAACTGAACTTTAATGTGGATAAGTGTAAGATAATGCATCTTAGACATACAAACCCAATGGCAGAATAGAGAATATTTGATAGTCCTAACCTCAACATCTGAGGAAAAGGATTTTCGGGTGATTAAAGGTAGGCAACAATGTAACAGAGCGGCAGGAAATGCTAGCACAATGCTTGGTTGTATAGGGAGAGGTATTGGCAGTATTATAGGGAAGTGCTCATGCCATTGTACAGAACACTGGTGAGACCTCACTTGGAGTATTGTAAGTAATACTGGAGATCGTATCTTCAGAAGGCTATTGATACTTTGCAGAGAGCTAAGAGAAGGGCTACTAAACTGGTTTATGGAATACAGTTTTCATGGTTCTGATCAGGTCCGACAAGAGACTTATGCTGAGTTTGACTTGTGGTTATTTGAGTGTTTGTTTAGACATGGTTAAACAAGAAAAACAATATGAGTAACATGATGTATAGTGAAGAAGAAATAAAGACAAAAGGAAGAAGGTAGAACCTATGAACGGAGTTACAGGTAAGTATATTAAGGGATAACAGAAAACAAGAGTTTAGGCAATAAGCCCCAGACAGGATTATAAAGTAACAGGAAAACCTAGAAGAGAAAATTATAGGTTGGAGAAAGAAGATGAACCCATAAGTGGAATTACAGGTTAGCATTTGAATAAGAACCTGTAAGCAGAATTATAGGTTAGAGTTAATAAAAGGAACAGAAGTGAAGGTTTAGGCAATATGCCCTAAGCAGATTTTAAGTAACAGGGATACAATTAGATAGAACTAAACAGGAACATAAAGGATAAAGTAATACAGGTTAAGTTAGCAATTGAGGTGATCAGTCTCTTCACTTTGAAATCAGAAATGGGTTTAGATTGTTATAATTAGGGTCTTTTAGGATACTTGCAAACAATAGGAAAGCCTGTAATATCCATGTATGTACGTTGTGGGCATTGGATGATAGATTCCCTTCACCCAACCATAAAACCATAACTTACCCCAAATAACGACAGACACAACTTCTTGAATATAACAGGCCACAGCATTTATTAACACAACCAAATATTGTATAACTCCTTTAACGTATAAAACGTACATAAGTATCATAGATTAACATAAATAACTTGCATAAAGTCATACAGTAACCGAAAAACATCCTTGCCAATCTAAGTCCCTCTTCCCAAAGGCTCTCACCTCCTCCCCCCTCCCCCCTCGGCATAATAAAAATCCTCTTCCTTTTGGGCTCCCCACCAGCCGGCTTTTCGCTCAGTGGGGCCCAACCATAATGCTCCCCACCAGTCGGCTTTTAACTCAGTGGGGACACGTCCAACCTGGTACCCCTTAAGGTTCACCATAAGAGACAGGGAGAGGATGAGACCCGGCCATTATCCCCCTTATTCATCTAACCTGCAAACCATCTCTCCTTTATTTGGCAAGGACATGCCCCTGCCTCGCTGTGACAACACCCCAGGCCTAAAGCACAAAGGGAGGGTGGGTGGGATACTGTTGCTGGCCTGGCTCCTAAGTGGCACTGAGGTCAGTCTGATCTGTCACCACCCACTTCCTCACATATCACATTCCCACACATAACACATGGCTAATCATGCTTCATCCATTCCCACACTCATACATGTGCCCTTGTCCTCTAAGCTGTGCACTCTCCCTGTGGCCTGGGAGGTTGTGTTGTTTTAGCTAGGAGAACTGTAGGTAGCAACCAAGCAATAAAGGTACCAAATTCCAGAATAAACTGAAGCAGGTTAGTCGGAATAAATCCGGATTGTAGAGTAGATCAGGATGGTTGAAAGTAAGTAAAAGTAGAGCAGGTTTTCTTCAGTAAGAGCCAGGAGCAGAAGACTTATCAGGTTCAGAACAATAACTTCTCTCAATGGAAAGGCAACTCCTTTAGTTGGGTGTGGCATTTTATAGCACATTCAGAAGATCAGTTTAGGCAGGTGTGAGAGACTGTGCTTTGACTAGTGGCTAGAGAGGCCACTAGTGGTGAAAACTGGTACTGAAAAAAATAAAACAGAAGAGAAAAAACATTGAGTTGTCTGTATAGGATCCTGACAACAGGATAAAACTTCCAGGAAAGGTTAAAGGAACTTAACATGTATAGCTTGGAGGAAAGACGAGACAGGTGAATATGATAGAAACCTTTAAATAAGTAAGGGGAATCAACACTGTAAAGGAGGAGACTATATTTAAAAGAAGAAAAACTACCACAACAATAAGGCATCGTCTTAAATTAGAGGGACAAAGGTTTAAAATATCAGGAAGTATTACTTTACTGAGAGGGTAGTGGATGCATGGAATAGCCTTCCAGCTGAAGTGGTAGAGGTTGACACAGTAAAGGAGTTTAAGCATGCGTGGGATAGGCATAAGGCTATCCTAACTACAAGATAAGGCCAGGGACTAATGAAAGTATTTAGAAAATTGGGCAGACTAGATGGGCTGAATGGTTATGTGTCTTCACTTTCTATGTTTCTCAATAATTGTCATTCGTTTATGTCTTAACTTTTGTTTCATTAGATGTGCAGAAATTCCTATTGGCCACTCACCACTCTTTAACTTATTAGAGCACTTTATTCTGCAATTGGTCCCAATTTTGAAGACAATACCTGCAATTCAGACAATACAAAGGGCAGAATTTGCAGTTTCTACATGGAGTCCTATCACCACAAAGCATAAATGCTTCAGGCAAACATGATGATCTGAAACATTACTATGGTAGCGCTGTGCGTATGCCATACACACTGCCCATTATGCAATATATAGTTCAGCACTTGGCAGAAATTCTGTTAATCTAAAACTGGGGTCTCAAACAACTTGTCCTTGGGCAATTTACAGCCCCTGAATATCTTCTTGTAGCTTGTGCGTTGGTTTCCTGTGTCTGAAGGGACAACCCAGAATGTAACCTGTTGGCTGTTTACCCCCGTCCAAGTAGCATTGCCTAGTGGTGTCCTTGCAGAGTGTATCTGTGTGTGTGATATTTATGTATTTATTTTTTCTTCTGTCTAGGAGTAAGTGTGTGGTCATCTGGAATTACAGATCTGAAGCTCCCATGAGAGTAGATAACTTGGCCAGTAGTCTACAGGCAAATTGAGGTTGAGACCGCTGATGTAAAGACATGGGTGGAAACTGATGGTCAAGGAAATTAAAGTCACAACTATGTTTCCCTTACCTTACCAACTGCTTAATAAATATGTTTACACAAATAGAGCTAATTCTGGATATAGATGTGCACATCCCTAAAGCTGGCTCGAACATACAAAGTTGTGAGAACCTGTCAGATGGGGGTGGGGAGGGGCAGTGTTTTAATAAACTAGGTGTGAAGGGTTAATACAGCATGACCTAAAGTTAATTCCATATGTATGGATTTTATAAACCTAGGTTAAGGGAATACTTGATATTCAATCAAAGACTTGGTTTCACATTGTGATTTATCTAGGGTTGGACCTAGAGCTTTGTTACATAGTGGTTTTAGTAATGGCTTAAGTAAATATGTGGGAGAGGCCATAACATTTACCCTTGGGTTAAAGCCCCTTGTGTCTCTGCCACCTGACACCCCAGAGAGCCCCAGTGGTACCAATATCATATCCAGCTCATATCCCTTACCCATAAATACCAAAATTTCAAACTGATAAAGAGGGGCTATAACTTTAGAAATATAAATGGGCAGTTCTGAAAACATTTGGGTAACTTACTAAATACAATATTTACAACTAAAATGCAATTTAGAACAAGTAAAATGTGTCTTTAAACTACAATAAATGTGTTTAGAAATCAGTTTGTGTAACATCACTATCCGTATTATTACCGTGGGGCTCTGTTAAAAATTCAGACAGACCAAGAATACAAAGCTTTTACAAAATGGGGATTTTCAGATTTAAAAGACAAGAATGACCGTAGAATTGTAGATCTAAATAAGGACACTTGTTTGGTTTGTTTACCCACACTAACCCAAAGTGCCTCTTTCCTGTTTTCTAATTCTAGACCATAAAATGCATAATAATATACATTTCTATTCCTGTCATAGCCCTGCAGGATCAGAGTTGTGCAAGGCTTCTGTGATGTTTATGTTGTCAGTTGTAATCAACCAGCTAGGGGTCTGCCTGTTGCTCTGTGCTGATGTATTTGATAAGGTACAATTGCTCCTCTTTCATTTTATAGCTTTCATGGCCAGGAAATGAGGCCCAGTCATTCATTGAAAATAATTTGTTACACTTTCCATCTTCTCTCTAATCAATGGCATTGGACATCATTTATTTGTGTTTTCTCTGTGCACATGCTGTGCTAATCAGTCTCCCTGCAAAGGACAATCCCTCCTAATGATAACTAGACTGCATTACTGTCAGCAAGCTGTACACTCAGAGAAAATGGATTCGGTCTGTGCTTGAAATCTGTAAAGTGTAATCCGTGGGATTAGGTGCCAGTGTAATTAGTTTGCTAGATGAAATTAAATAAACTCTCCTGGGAAGACTACCCACTGCTGGTAGCGTTTAGGGATTAATACTGTAAATTTAGTTAGTGGTTTTCTATTCACTCACGCAGCATGTATCTACATTTATGAGATGAAGTTATTTTAGGTGTATAAGTACCCAAAGCAAAGAGAACATTTTCCCATTTAATGATTGTCCTTAGGAGCCATTTATGTCTAATATATCTTTATATTTTGTTTGATTAAAAGATGCTAACATTTTAATTGTATCCTGTTTAAATATATAATGAATTAAATACAATAATACCATTTTTTTCTTTGTGGTTTCTGCTGTGAGCTTTGACATTATTTTATGGGATATGCCAAGCACCATAACAACCTATGTTCCTGGTGCAAGGGGACCCTTGTTCATGTGTCCCTACAGTTCCTAACAGCAACACTGCAAAAACCGCTGTTGCTATAAAATTGTCCCTTCATAGCTCTTATGTCAAGGGGGGATTTTATTCTTTCTTTGGCTATCCAGATATTTCATAGCATTCACATCTCCGTAAAATGTGTAGGGGTGGTCAATTACCTGATAGCAGCAACATTCAGGTTGTTCTAATCTGTAGTTCCAGTCACTAGATCTCGTAAACAGATCCACAATGGTGGCCTAAACAATATATCCCAAAATTATACACAGAACATTTATGGGGTAAGATCACTGATAAAGTCTTGTAATTAATAAATAATTTTAATTTGGTTTACAAAGTTTAAATGTAGAGAGTGGCTTGACTCCAATTTGTACACCAATGATTTTCTATGCCAGTAACCCAAAACACCCATTTAATGTCTACAAATGTTCTGAAAATGACAGCCTCTCCTTCTCCTTCTAAACCGTATTGAAGTCTTTAAAGATCATACCATTTCTAAAGTCAGGGAAGGGAGTAAGTTGGTTCTCTCATATGTCACTATAAAACTTCTTAATTAACGTCATATTGAAGAAATATGATTTAGCTTTCCTTGGAATTATATTCAAATGCAGACATTCTTTTTACGCATGGATGGCATTTTCAAGGCTCATTAACGACCTTGTTGCCATTTTTTTTGTGGCTAGCTGCTACTCATTAACATTTCTGTCACTGTTAGGAACGGCTATTTAATTTCATTTTGCTAAATTTCACATGTAGTGACGGGCTGCCGCTACAGAAAGCAAGTTGCTAAGCAAGTCTTGTTCCCATCCTTTTGCTAATTTTACTGGCCCTTTGCTATAGGCCACACAGGGTGAAGTGCGCATGCTGTAACTCAGCCCCCTTCATGCATCAGCCATGAGACCACCAAGTGGATTCTGTGCTGAGAGTGTGGCACAAAAGAGAGTTTATAACCAGCTCAGGACAAAAGGAGGGGAACCAACCTGGTTTCGTTTAGAACATATCCAACGTTTTTGCATCTGTAATAAATGGGACACCAGAGCACAAAAGCAAAGGGACTAGGAGAAAGTGTTGTGCATGCTGTTTGTTGTGGTTCAGATGTGTGGGCTGGCTGCCTGTGGTGTGTTTGTGGGGGCAAGGGGAGGGAGGGCTGCTTGTAGTATTGTGGTTTTATTTTATTTTTTGGGGGGATGCTGCTTGTGGCGATGCATGTGTGGGGGGGATGCGGCTTGTGGTATTGCGTGTTTGTGGGATGCTGCTTGTGATCTTGCATGTCTGTGGTGCTAGATAAGAAATCAGAATGTTGCCATATTATCTCTCTGCAACACTCTGACCCACTACAAAAAGCAATGTCCCTAGACGTCATAGCGGCCCACTGAGCAATTGCCCGATGGCTTGTACAATGTCATCAGGGCCTCCCATCAGCTGGCTGTGGCTTTCCCCTCTGCTAGGGATTTCCATTTATGCAGATGCCAGAGGGGTAGCTATGGGTGGCACTCTACCTTGGTTTGTAGCATTATATTTTAATTCATATTCTTTAATGATTCATTCTCTTTTTTTCTAATAGCTACGTAATAGCTTATTTTCTAATAGCTACGTACTGAAGACCTTGGTTTCACATACATTCTACTCCTTCACCTGTGTGGTAGACTTAAAGATATATTTTAAATACTCATTTATTTAAAAAAAAAAAAAAGCATCTTAATGCATTATTCAATTTTTTTTAAATATATTTTTTTTATGGGTTTTGTAATAAAGGTTTTTGTGCAACGTTTTTTCCTTTCTACTTTCCTTCCATTGTTTTGCGTTAATGTTTAAAATGTATGGCGATCACTGTGGGATATGGCTAATGGAAGTTGCTCAGATCCTTTTTAAATGAGATATCCCATTGACTTTAACACACGTCTTTTGTACTAAAATGTTCTTCTCTGCAGTTTCTTTCTGATTGTAAAGGACAATCCGCTGAAGGGTAGGTAGTTTCAATTTTAAATTTAAGAAATATGGACAATGATTCTTTTGACCACTAGCAGTTATTTAAGCCAGTTTCAAGTTTTCTACCCAGCAAGCTACATTATGCTGAGAACGCTTCTTACAGTTCCTTCCTTGAAATGTAACAATGGGTCATTCTTGTTTTGTGCTCTGTTTAGGTGACAATGGAATTGCAAAAGAAAGTTGTTGGGTTTTTTTTTGTTTTTTTTTCCTGGATATCAGATAAATACAAAGCAGAGAAAATATGTTTATTACAGTAACTTAAAATTTAAAGATCTGGGTTGGGTATTAGAAAGATGGTTCTTTTAGGCAGATTTTTGAATGCAGGAGGGAGCAGGGCACTAGTACCATGCATAGAACAACAAAGCTTCACTCAGTGTATGGTTTACTTTAAAGGGGTGATGTCAGTCTGGCCACCCACCAATTATGGACGGACCCACCTGTGTGGCACAGGAACGTAATGACAGTGATAACCGGTCCACAGAACAAACTCAATAGACCATATAACCAATGTAGAACCTTGTGGCGATTGCACAGATCTGCCTCCAAGCCAATATGTTTGTGTTCTATACCAACCAAATGTGTGAATGGTGTCTCCGGTACTTAAAAGATGAGTTTTCAGACTTGGGTCCACAATCTTTCAACATCGTTTGTATGGGTTCTTTCTTGTTACCTTTATACATTTTAGAGATCATGTTAACATTAAGTCAATTGTCAGGGAAATTATGTCTGAACGAGAGGTTACAGTGTGGAACTTAAGGGATGTAGAATCAAGGGAACTGTAAAATACATGTTTGTTTGTTTTTTAAATTACATTTTAATTGAATTTATACCTGTGAGAGAAAAAGGTCAATGTGTCAGGGCCTGTACTGTGTAAAAATGTTGACATTCCTGGAATACATTACTGTTCTTAAATATTCCTAGAATATGTTACTGACAAAATCATGATCAAAACACATTTCTAGCCTTGATTGCTTCAGTATTTGTGTTCTCTGTGGTTCCATTGCTAGCTTAGAGATTTGTATTTTATTTTTCATAAACTGCTTTCTGTGCAAAAACAGACCTGTAACCAAAAATTGGGGAAAAAACCCCAAAACAAACCACACCAGTTTTAAAAGAAACATTCCTTAGGGAACTGTAGAAGAACAGCATGTTTACTACCTGCCCATCTCTGGATTAGGATCATGCACCATCCCTAATGGGGAGGAAAAAAAAAATTGTAGGCTCTGCTGTTTTACATCAATAACGTACTCTACATTTTCTCAAACTCCTGCTACTGGATGCTCCCAAAGCTCTCTTAACGATTGAACGGTGTGCTGCCTCACAAAGAGCTGTAAAATATGTAACTTACAACATCATTTATGTTACTTTGTGATGGTATGACCCCAATAACAGCTCTCTGCCGCTGTTGTCCTCGTTCGTAGCATCAGGCCAGATAAATATATCTGTAAGCAGTAGATCCTGTAAAATCAGATTATAAAAAGAGACCACTCATGATGGTAAAAAGGTGGCGGCTATGCTATAGTTCTACATTACACACTAAAACTTTTTTCATTTTCAAACTTTTTTTTTTTTTCTGTTACTTGACTTCTATTTTGTCATACAAGTAGAAAAAAGTGTTTGTAATTTGTAAGGGTATGGTTTTCCATTCTGGGTTTTTACTGATGAAATAATGGAAAATGTCACTCCTGTACATTGATCATTTTTGGATATAAATGTAGGCATGAAATCCTGCAATAATACCGTATATACTCGAGGACAAGACAAGTTTTTCAGCACATTTTTTTTTGTACTGAAAAAGCCATACTCGTCTAATACTCGAGTCAGTGTCTGTATTATGGCAACTTACATTGTTACCTGTTGGGGGGTGGGTAACAGCTTGCTCCCAGCCCCCCTCCTGCACAGCCCATCCACTGGACCACCAGGGAATAATATAGAAAAAATTAAATAATATAATAAAATAAGAGATATTTAATAATATTAAAAAAAGAAAATTTTATATTAAAAAAAAAATGATAAAAATGCCCTCCCTCCACCAAGGTAACACACACACACTCTGCATTCATTATATACACACACTGTAAATATTCAATTAATATAATTTTGGGAGGATCTAATTTTATTTAGAAATTTACCAGTAGCTGCTGCATTTTCCACCCTAGGCTTATACTCGAGTCAATACGTTTTCCCAGTTTTTTGGGGTAAAATTAGGGGCCTCAACTTAAATTTGGGTCAACTTATACTCGAGTATATACGGGAATTGAAAGCCCTAGAGAAGAATGAACATGTAACCTGGAGTAATTACAATTTCTCCTAAGAGTTCTTAAATGCATCCTGTTAGTGTTTTCTTATGGAGAACATACACCACCAGATAGATGCTTGAGCCTGGATGGGAGTCAATAGAAGAACAATGACTGAAGAGTTTATTTGCTGTGGAATTCTATAAATATTATCATTGCTGTCTATATGTCCTTAATATGAGTGGGAGACCTACTCTTTTACTCATACAGGGAAGAGAGCATGAAATATGAATGTGTCGACATGTCACTTCTTTCTCTCACAGTGGTATCTATGATTGTGGGTTCTTATTTCAGTTCACATAGCTTTTGATCAACTCAATGTTGTCAGGTAGCAGACTGAAAGTCTGCCCACCAGATGGCACAGAGACGACTGGCAGTTTTGCAGAATCATTAATTCAATCCAGGTGGATAAAAAGTTGAATCTGGCTGATTTGACACCTGTATCTGTTTTCAAACATAACCCGGAGATTCCCTTATCTCCCAACAATGATTTTTTTTCTGCTTTTTCCTTTTCTGCTTTTGTGCAATTCTTTTCAGAGAAATCCAAATTAAACTATAACGATTATTATCTACAATACTATATTAGACTGGTTTCATATCATGAGCACTATAGCTTTAATTTGCATGATGGCGAAATTAGTCTTGGCAATATGATAGAAATGAATGAAATTATGGTAATCGCTGAGCCAGAAAATTGTTTCATTATTATTTCTTCTTTTTCGATTTTCTGTAACATTGAGGAGATACATAATCATCTGTTTAGCAAAATATAAATTGTGTATTGAAACTCTTCACTTTCTATAGCTGATAACTGCCTACACAAGCTTTTCATGGGCCAAAATAAATGTCCTGTGAACCCCCACTCTACTCACTCCCTGGCCATTGACAATTGCCTCTCCACTACAGCGGACATCCATAGGAGACCACAAACATACAATATGGTGACTTCATCAACATGCTCCATTGGCCTCTCTAAATCACCATCATTTACTTTGTGTCAGAAAACAGCATGTGTCTGCACTTTCATGCAGAAAACCTCAGTCTAGTGGCCACAACATCCATAAAAACTGACCTGACCATGCATCTTTAGAATCTTAGAGACATTGTGTGCAGGCCTGGTGACCATGCACAAGGAAATTTCGAATTTTGACACCTGGGCCCAGACATTGGTAGCTGACTCTCAAATCTGTTCCCATTATCATCAGGCTGTAGAGCTGCCTGCTATTCAGGTATTTTTAGTGTAGGACTCATTTAAGAAGTTTACCTTTTATTTAGCAGGTGAGCTTTCAGCAAGGAAACTTTTTACTTGACCTGAAATAAAGTATTAGATAATATTGACAATTGGGGTCAGAGGTATAATGTACATATAAGAGGTCTCTGTGAAAATGACCTGGTGGAACCACTTTATAGACTAATGGAGCTGTTCACCATGATACTAGGCCCTGATGTGCCAACTTCAATTACTTTTGCTAGAACAACCATACACTTGGCCCAATTAAGACCAAAAATATGATATAGGAGTGTGGTATAGCACAATGCCAAAAGGCAAAATAGTTTAACCTAGTGCAGCTATTGTGTATAGGCTACTCTAGCCCCAACATCATGCAAAATATAGCAATCCAAAGTATTAATCCAAAAAAGAGCAACTTGGTTATGGAGGGACAAATTTATTCAAAGAGCGTGCAAAGAACAGATGTTTCACAACCCATGTCCCTTTATCAATGATGCATGCCCTCAACCCATGCAACACTCACCAGAATATATATGGGAAACTACCCTCCACCAACAGGACACCACTTGCTGCTGCTGTCACCATTGCTCTCTGCCAAGATCTCACGAGGTCTGGTGATGTCATATGGGAATCAGCATGACTGACTCTCCATGACTGGAGCAAGAGAACCTCAAGAGACACAATTATCTGCCTTTACTACTATATATATATTTATTTCAAATCATATTCTATCATAGAAAGCCAATGGAATTTGGTGTTCCAGATTCTAAACTTACCATCTGTGGATGCCTTAAATTGGCTCCTCCATTCTCTGCATGAGGACTTCCAGCATCAGATTTTCCCCATAGGAAAGCATTGAATAATGTTATCCTATGGGGAGAACCTAATGCGAGCACGGCCATTGCCACGCATGCGCATTAGGTCTCCCTCGTCGGCGGAGAAGCATGGGCTGAGACCAAGAGACATAGGTGCTGGACCCATGCAAGTGACTGAAGGGGGTTATTTCCTGGCACTATAGTTTCCCTTTAAAAAACTGGAGGATTTTAGTATAATTACAATGATAGAGTGTAAGCTCACCTGCTACATAAAGACAAACCTCTTGAGTGAGTCCTACACTAAAAATTCACCTTGCAGAGGACGATGTGCACTTTGGCCCATTAAGCTACCTTGAGTGCTGAGGTATAGGAATCTAATTAGACTGCTCTCAAAATGGTACTGCGCACACAAGTCATGCATATAATTAATAATGCTACCTCCATGTCGGACTTGGGGAGGGCAAGTTGGCACAGTGCTACACTTTTTGGTAGCATTATCCAAGCTTACTTGTGCCTCACATATCCCATCTGACTCAGATTCTGGATAACCCTCCTCCATTTATTCAAGTGGTAATGTTTTCCAACTTTACCACTTTCAAAACGCAAAAAATGTCTGAAGAGAAACTTGATTAAAGTTGCTATAATGCAAATTTCTATGGCAGCGGCAAGTTGCCATAAGTCTCACTCAATGGATGGATAAGGTGGACTGCATCATTCCGAAATGCCTACGAGTTATTGTGCCCATGCCTGCTGTATCTTACAATTAGACGTTTGGATGTGTAGCAGCCCTCATTCTTGGTTGAGTTTCACGAGGCCCTTGTGTATTTCAGATGGTTTTGTTCTCCCTCCCCCACACTTTTTTTCGCTCTCTTCCAAATTATTTTTCATCCTCTTGTTTCCTCCTCCCCTCACCCCCCCCCCTCTGGTTTATTTTGTGGTAGTTTGTCCTTGAACTGGGACAATCACTCTGTTTTCTAAACCTATTTAACCTGTATCTATATCTTTTGTATCATGAAATGTCATAGTCTCTTCCCAATTAAACCTTCTGACTATTGAAAAAAAAATTAACTTAATGGAGGGATATACAAAAATTACTGAATCAAAGTCAGACTGATCTTTTATACTTAACATGGTTACATATCATATACTGACAAGTTGGTTATCTTTCACTTTATTTGCAAATGCATTTCTACAAATTCAGAGCTCCTGGGAGTTAGACTGAATTACAACCCAAATTGTACTTTTCAGAATAATTTTCCAATATCTCATGCTAAGGAGGTCACAATTAGTGATGTACCGAACGGCTTGGCGAACATAGCGTGTTCGCGTCCGCCGCGGACGGCGAACGCATGCGCGGTTCGATCCGCCCCCTATTCGTCATCATTGAGTAAACTTTGACCCTGTACTTCAGTCAGCAGACACATTCCAGCCAATTAGCAGCACACCCTCCCTAGCAGACCCTCTCCCACCTACTGGAAGGCATCCATTTTACATTCATTCTCAAGCTGCATGCTTAGTGAGAGGAGGGAAAGTGTAGCTGCTGTTGATTAGATAGGGTTAGGCATAGCTAGGTTAGGGTTAGAGTATGCTTTTTTTTCTTCTGTGTAATGTAATTGCAGTTAGTTGTCTGCCACTGCTGCCAGCTTCTGTGTCAGGCTCACAGTGGATACTGTGCCCATTTCCCCAGTCAGTGCCACCACTTATATCTGGTGTCACAATAGCTTGCATTTAAAAACAAAAAACTTTTTTCACTCTTATAGATTGAATAGCAGTTAGTGTCTTCAAGCGGGTGTGTCAGCCCTACAGCGTGTACTCTGCCAGTTTACAGTGCCACTCATATCTGGTGTCATAATAGCTTGCATTTAAAAACAAAAAACTTTTTTCACTGTTATAGATTGAATAGCAGTTAGTTGTCTGCCAGTAGGTGTGTCAGGCTCACAGTGGATACTGTGCCCAGTGCCACCACTCACTCACTGGTACCCGGACAAAATTTATTTTCACAAAAGGCAATCCCCAACCTGTACTCGATTGTGCAAAAGGAAATAATGGCATGTCTGGCACACAGTGTTGGGGCAAGGGTCCATCTGACCACTGATACCTGGTCTGTAAAGCATGGTCAGGGCAGGTATATCACCTACACTGCGCATTGGGCAAACCTGCTGACGGCTGCCAAGCATGGAATGCGTGGCTCTGCAGAGGAGTTGGTGACACCGCCACGACTTGCAGGCAGGCCTGCTGCCACCTCCTCTACTCCTCCTACTCCATCCTCTTCCATAACCTCCTCGGCTGAGTCCTCTTCTGCTGCTGCGTCTTGCTCCACATCAACGGATAGGGGACGTAACAGGGATTAAACTGATAAAAATAGTACTAAACATACCACTCCTATCTGGTGGCACATTAGATTGCACGCGCAGTGCCCCAAATTTGTTGTGATCTGTGAGTAAGGTAAATGGTTGTCCATACAAGTAAGGTTGCAGCTTTTTGAGGGCCCACACCACCGCAATGCACTCCTTTTCAATGGCAGTGTATCTACTTCCCTGGGCAAAAGTTTACAGCTTAGATAAGCCCCGGGTTGCTCGCCACCATCTGCTCCGACTTGGCTCAGTACTGCTCCCAATCCAAACATAGAAGCGTCTGTATGGATGAGAAAGTATTTAGTTGGATCAGGAGCAGAAAGTACAGGTGATTTAATGAGCGCCGTCTTGAGCTGTTGGAAGGCCTGTTCACACTCTGGGGCCCATACTACTATCTTGGGGAGGTTTTTACGCGTTCCTATATGGCACTTACTGGGCTTTAGGGTCAGTCCGGACTCCCTAATCCGGTCTAGTACGGCTCCTATGTGGGTCAGGTGTTCGGGCCAGGAGCAGCTAAAAATGGCTATATCATCCAAGTAGGCGCACGCATACTCCTGAAACCCTATATGCATACCAGTCAAAGGTTACCTCCTTTTACTGAGGAGTGTGTATAAAAGAGTGGTCTAGACAATAGAGGTGATTTACAGGCAGCTCAATACACTTGTGTAACAAAAAGACTTATACCAATAAGTGGAGCGCTCCAACACATATACAGCTTACCAAATGATATTCCACTCAATGGTCCTGAGCCTGTGGGTCCCGGCTCTAGGTATATAAGTATTGTGTTTATATACCTAGAGCCGGGACCCACAGGCTCAGGACCAGGTGAGCACACCATTTACTTACATAATATACACACTCCTCTGTAAAAGGAGGTAACCTTTGACTGGTATTCATATATTGTTTATATCCTCATGTGTATATAGAGTAATTATGTCACTTTTTGAACAAAGGAAAAAACAATGTACTAATATAGATGAATTATTCGGTGGAGAAGAACTTGTCTTCCACCAAATTGACAGAATGGAAGAGAAATCCATATTTGATTGTCAAAGAATACTTGAAAGAACATTAAGTAAGGAAACCAGAATTAAATGGGAAATTGCAACACTAGAAAAATACATTCGAGAAAAAATTACCCCAAGAGGCCTCAGATTCTTTAAATTCCCTTCATTTGATCAGGAGGATAAAGCATTTATGGACGATTGGGCTACTATGTTAGACTCTTTCTCTTTCACTATGATGCAAAAAATCATAGCAAGAAGGAAACTCACTTTAGATAAATTAGACACCGAAATAAATAAAGAACAAAATTTTCTCATAAATCATACAAATGCAGAAGAATACAAGAGAATTACAGATAAAATTCAACACGTTACAGACAAAGTTGAACAGGAAACAATACAAATAAAAAAGAGAAAATATACACGTGATAAAAACGATTATAGACGCGATGAAGTGAGAACATTTGGCAGGAACAACAAATTGAATAATCAACATACACATTATAACACATATGATCAACAGAAACATCACTCTTATCATCCACGTCCTACCCACACACATTACAATCAGAGAGAAAGCCCACCAAGGAATTATTACAAAGGCAAGACTGAGAGAATAGAATCCAAGCCTTCCAAAAAAAAACATCTCAGGTCCAATATATCGAACATGAGAACCCCCATTCAGACAGAAAAAAAGAGCCAAATCAGATGAATTCCTTACAGCCCAAAGTAAGTTTAGATACAATTCCAGAAGAATATCAGATATTCACACCCATAACCGATTTGACCCCCTAACTAAAACCTCAGAAGAGGATTTTTGGAGTTTGAGGAACAAGGACAAACACAAATTCCTCTCACGCCAAAAATCACCAAACAAACGACAAAGGAGTACGGAAGAAGGGGAATTAGAGGAGGAGTGGACACACAGAGAAGGAAAGAGAGACAAATGCAACCCATAAGAACACAAAAGGAAATTGAAAAAGAAGCAGGTATTTTCAACCTCACCTCCACACAACTAGATCAAACTCACATTAAATTACTACAAAAAGGTTTAAAATTTGCACCCACAAGGAATTTAAATAAATTTGACACTTATGTTGATTTGAATAAATTTAAACGCACTCTATGTCTTAAAAAGTTTTTTCAAAAACACCCCGTATCAAATAATCCAATTACGACAAAATACACACACACCACATTAAAAGAAAAATCCACTTTTTACCCCAAACATCTAATTTCAGGAGAAATGGCCACCTATGAGAAAATGGTAATGGCCGATATCAACAAATTGAAAAAAGCTAACCATTATCAACAAAATCTCAGAAGAGATGAATATAAGGTTCTGAAAAAACTACAGAAGGACCATGAAATTGTAATCAAACCGGCAGATAAGGGAGGGGGAATAGTCATCCTAGATATTAACGACCATCACACAGAGTGCATGAGATTATTAACGGATCAAACAACGTACACAAGGTTAAAGGGTGACCCAACAGGCGAAATTAAAAACAAATTTTCCGACCTCATCGAGAGGGGCCTACAGAAGGAGATTTTAAACAAAAAAGAATTTGATTACTTGAATATAACCCATCCAAAGATTCCGGTGTTCTATTATCTCCCTAAGGTCCACAAAAATCCCGAAGTTCCACCCGGAAGACCTATAGTTTCAGGTATCAACTCAATATCATGTAGTCTCTCGGAATATGTGGACAAGTGTCTCCAACCCATAGTGCAAAGCATCCCGAGTTACCTAAAAGATACAGGAAGCATCCTTAGACATCTACAAACCATCAAATGGGAACATGACTATTTCCTAGTAACTGCAGATGTCAGCTCACTATACACGATTATTTCACACCAGAAAGGATGCACAGCAGCCAAATTTTTCTTAGAACAATCCCACTCATTTGAATCCGACCAAATTGATTTTATTATGGAAGCAATATCACTGATTTTAACCAGCAATTACTTCTGGTACGACGACACTTTTTATCTACAGGCATGTGGCACGGCGATGGGCACTAGGTTCGCACCCAGCTACGCCAATCTGTTCATGGCGGATTGGGAACGCCAACACCTACAACTTAATGAAGGCTGGGTGGAGGGCCTGGTGACCTATCGCCGTTACATTGATGACCTGTTTTCTATTTGGAAAGGCACTGAAGCCACGCTCCACACTCTTTTAAAATCAACTCAATAATAATCAGTGGGGTATCATTTTATCAACTAATTTTAGTAAACATAAAGTGACATTTTTAGATTTGGATATTTTTATAGATAATGAAAGGATCAAAACTAAAACTCATTTTAAAGATGTGGATGTAAACAGCTTCATCCACACCTCTAGTTGTCATTTTTCCCCATGGCTTAACAGCATACCCAAGTCACAACTCATACGGATTAGAAGAAACTGCACAGATGAAGTCACCTTTAAAGAACAAGCGGATAAATTAATTTCAGACCTGTTGGAGAAGGGTTATGAAAAAGATAAATTAAAAGACACCTTAACACAAATTACAAAAATCCCACAAAGCACTTTATTAACACAAAAAAACAGAATAGAAAATGAAGAACAAATACATTTACCCATAATATGTAACTATAGTCACAATAACAGCGCACTTAAAAAAATTCTAAACCAACATTGGCCTAACCTATTACAGGACGATGCCTTAACACCAATTCTACCAGCCAAACCGAAAATAGTTTTTAGGGGAGCCGCAAATCTAAATAGACTCCTAGTAAGAAACCATTTAAAAAAAAAAAAAAATCACTACTTTCTTAGACAAAGAGAAAGGCTTCTATGGATGTGGCACATGCCTAGCATGCCGGAATACCAATAATAAAAAAAGACACATCACAAAATTTAAAAATTTCAACAATAAGGAGGAATTCCACATCTTATAACCTGCCACTCAAACTTATAACCTGCCACTCAAATAATATAATATATTTATTGGAATGTCCATGCGGTCTGAAATATGTAGGCCGCACTAAACGTAAGTTACACCTTAGGATAGAAGAACACACCAGAAATATTAAGAAAAAATTTGAGGGACACAGTGTATCACATCATTTTTCCCTAGCACATGATAGTGACCCAACACTTCTAAAATTCATGGGTATACATAGGGTAAAAGGAAACTGGCGAGGAGGGGACTTTTTGAAATTATTAGGACAAAGTGAGATGAAGTGGATATTCAACCTTGGGACTTTAAAACCCCAAGGTCTGAATATAGACTTCGAGCTTTGTCACTTTATCTGAAATATACACCTATGAGTTTTACTATTATTCATATGTGAATATTCATATCTTTTATCTTCACAATATGTATAAAACCCTTATCTACCAAATAATATTTATTATTACTTGCATTTAATGGAGCTATTTTTATTTTTTTATAATCAATTTTTTTCTTCTTCTTTTTTTGATTCCCTTATGAATACCACTCAAATCATATAAATGTACATAACTATCACAATAAGAATATATATATTATGTACTTGTCACTTTTAAGCACATTGCACTTTTAAAATAAGTATCACAAATCACTCTGGTTTTATAATATATAATCAAGGATACCACTTATGGTACCACAATAATAATTTCTCTTTCTGTTGATCAGCATTTTTTTTATGTACCCTGCCACTATGGTGTGTAAGTATTTATTTTTAGTGATCCCTCTTAGTCTGAGTTCCGTGTGTGTTCAGCACACACGGCATCTAACAGTTGAAGGGCAGAGGGAGGAGTCCGTGACCACCTCCTTCCCCTGGATAAAAATCACAATTTTTTTTTATATACTCCCCATGAAAACATGCTTGCATGTAATTATTCATTTTTTTAATTGAGGTATTTCGAAAAACAGCTAGGAGAAGCTGGTGATCTCTTGTCTGATGCCTTTGCAAGCATCTCCTTTCTAGCCCCACCCAGACTTTCTGTGGCTGTCCAATCATAGACTTTCCAATGCAGCTCAATAAGAAATATTTGCAAGGATGGTTCTCTGGACAATTGCTGCCTCTTGAGGTTAATTCACCTGAGTTAAACAGACCAGAAAGTAACAGGGTCGGTTGACTGCCAGGGGATGTAAGAAGGTTAATTTTATAAAAAGTGACAATTTCTATGGAAATCTGCATTCTTTTTTAAAATTAAAAGCGAGAACACCCAATTCACATATAAAGTACTTCAGCAAGTGTTTGCTTCATGGATCTGTGGTGCACCTTTAACATGTTATAAATTATGTGTTAAAAAGTATAGATCTTTTAAAATTGAAAAAATAAAATAAAAGAGCAAAGCCTATAACAAAAAAAAAATTCTTCTAACCTATTGCTCTCTCAGCCTTACATTCACCATGAAAAATATTAGACACTACAGCAAATCATTAATATGATTTTAGGGTAAATTTGGAGGTACTACATATGTGCAAGGATCTCCCATGACTTTCTCTTGTAAAACATTGAAAATCTGAAATACACCTGTTAAGATGCTACCACCTCTGGCAAACTAAGATGATGTTAGAGCGACATGGAAAGAACATGCTTGTAGCTATTCTGTTCACATTATACATTTTCCATGTTGCTTGGCTATGTTGTGTATGAGCTGAGATGCGGCACACATATTTGCTTCAATCACTAACATATGTTGTATGACCTTGCCACAGGGATGCAACACCTCATTGTTTAATAAGTATGGATTTTATGGAAACATGAATTCATAATTGGATGACTAATGTTTACATGTTACACTTGGTAGCACGAAATTATTGATTTATGTATCACAAGGAAATTCCGTAGCGCAAAGTATAGTTAATAAAGTTTATGGTTGTTAAAAATCTCATTTGAATGTTTATATTTTACACTTTATTTTTTATTGAATTGTAGTTAAAATTACTTTTCACCATGATTTTGATTTAACCCTAACTGTTGTTGTTCTGCAGTATGAAGCACAGCTACTTGGGAAGAAGGACAAAGAAAGCCGAGGAAAAGGAATAGACTGTGCCGCTCTTACCAGCATGGTACAACTGGCTCAAATTATCGTGGGTGTCGGCCTTGGAGTACTTGTCAGTCTTGCCGGGAGCGTTGTTGTGGTTGTAATTTCTGCATCAACTGTTTCATTAGTTGGATGTTGTTTTGTAGCAATTTTTGTCCGATATGTACAGTAAAAAAATGTTAATTTCAGACTATTCTGCTTTATTTTTGTGTGTGTGTATAAAAATTAGAAACGAGTGTATGCATTTGTGCCCCTAGTCTTCCAAGTCCAGGTATTCCAGTAAATTCATAAAGCTTGACTGCTTCCACAATACTGGATTCCAGATATAAACTGCTTCTTTCCATAAAGGGAATAAAAAGGTGCGATCAAAGCCAGTCTGGCGTTCACGGTCAATAATCCAGGTTAGCTAACAAACCACTAATTCACTCCCTACATCGCAGCAATGCTTAGTTCTACATATAAGATCTGCTAGATCAGAAAAACTATGGGCTAACATCTGTGTGTTTGTGTTGGCATGTGCGTTTATGTATGTGTGTACATATATTTCCTTTTCAAAATGGTTTCTGTCAAATATTACATTGCAAACATACCTATATATTTGTTCATGATTAGAATGTGAATTAAAACTATAAAAAACACTGAGTTCCACCTAACCTGATTACTCTTGTTTTATTGACTGGGAGACCTACTGAGAGCGAATGAGCGTGAATGTCAATGGAAACATAATGTGGAAGGCAGGATTGAATCATGGGCCATAAAATGAAGAAATAGGAGCAGAATAATTAAGGATCAGAGGAACATTCTAGTATTAAAGACTTACAAATTAGATCAAGGATGAAAACTATTTACACCTTTCTGATCTCTTATGGTAGCACTCCTCTTTGCCTCTAAGGATATATTCAAGGCACTGCACACTGCAAGGCAAAACACAAGGCTTCCCTGTTAAAACAGTTTGAAGTGTTACTTAAGTTCTTTTACAATGTCTTCTCTCAGATATGGACCGTGTGTAGGCATGGTAAGCCAACATTCTATACGAAACAATGCATTTTTGAGGATAAAACGTGTGTATGCATGTCTGTGTTTTTGTGTGTACTGTACAACATGAGGAAGCATTGCAGTATTTTTTAATACCATTGTCTATTGGATAATTTACAGCAACTCAAATGTGTGTTTGATTGCTTCACTATTCTGTATCTATTTTTACATAATTTTTGGTAGCGATAGGCTTAGTGTGTTTGTTTTGGAGATTTGGGTAACACCCTAAGTTAGTTTTTGCTAGGGTTAAGGTTTCTTTAAACGTATGGCAGCCTTGGGACATGTGTTTGATTGGGGATAGTTATATTCCTTGGTGGCAACTATTTGTAACGACCAGCCTTAATTTAGCTAACAGGTCCTGACACAGTATGCCATGTTTGTTATTCCTTGTTCATTACAGTGTATTACTAATTTTCCATCTCTCTATACACTGAGGTTTTGAATAATGATCTGCAAGTTGAAATATGAATATATAGATCTCTAACATGACATACACAATGGTGAAGACTGTTATGAGAAAAAATGCTGCTCTGCAGACATAAAAAAAATATACTGAAAGGGATAAAAATAATACGAAAATCACAACTAGTAAGTTAATTACTGAAGGCAATTATAGATTATTTATAAAACATTTTTACCAGGATGGATACATTGAGATTTATTATTATGTTAATATAGCGCCATCAGATTCCGCAGCGCTTTACAATGAATGGACGAACAGACATGTAGTTGTAACCAGACAAGTTGGACACACAGGAACAGAGGGGTTGAGGGCCCTGCTCAATGAGCTTACATGCTAGACGGAGTGGGGTAAAATGACACAAAAAGGTAAGGATAGTATTAGACTAGTGATCGTTGCAGAAGAGGAAGCAGTCAGGAGCTATTAACAGTTTAATTGATACGCTTTTATGAAGTAGTGCGTTTTTAATGATTTTTTGAAGGAGTGGAGACTGGGTGAGCATCTAACGGAGGAGGGAAGCGAGTTCCACAGGAACGGTGCAGCCCTCGAGAAATCTTGAAGGCGAGCATCAGAGATGGGAGTATGGACAGAAGATAGACGTAAGTCTTCAGCAGATTGTAAGGACCTAGATGTGACATACTGGTGTATAAGGGAGGATAGATAGGTGGGAGCAGCATTATGTAGTGATTTGAAAGCAAGAACCAGAATTTTAAATTGAGCTCTATATTTTATAGGAAGCCAATGTAGGGACTGACAGAAGGGTGAGGCATGGGAGGTGCAGGCAGACAGGAAGATGTGTACAGTTGAGGATTTGCAGACGTTAGGCAGATCATTTAGAAATAATTTGAATAGCAGGGGGTCAAGTATGGAGCCTTGGGGAACACCACACATGTCTGGTAGAGAAGCACCATCAGAAATTTCCACATATCGCAATCATTCCGAAACATATGATTGAAACCAGGTTAGCGGACGATCACCAATGCCTGACTTTTCAATATTTTTCAAAAGAATGCCATGGTCTACTGTGTCAAAGGTCTTGGTAAAATCAATGAAAATAGCTCCAGCTAAGTCTCCTTATTCCATGCCAAATTGGATGTCATTGCAAACTTTTAAGAGAGCAGTCGAAGTTGAGTGATTTGGATGGAAGCCTGATTGATCAGGGGTCAGGTAATTGGATTGTTGATAATATTTACATAGTTGCGCATGGACGCATTTTTCCAAGATTTTTGACAATACCGGGAGCAATGATATCAGGTGATAGATACCAAAGTATTGTTGCCACTTTTATCGATAGGTACAACGTTTGCAGTCTTCCAAAGTTTTGGTATGTATCCTGACACCTGGGATTCATTGATAAGGGTAGACAGGTTTTGCAATTACTGGCACACTGAGCTTCTGCAATATTGCTGGGATTTGATCTGGTCAACACTGTTGTTTTTTTTTTTCCATTTTTAAATTATTAAGATGTTTATTAATGACACTAACAGGCACATGTCTAGAACTGAATTTATCTATATGAGCATTTTGAAGATTTGGCAGGGCCTGATCTTTATTTGTGGTCTGAAAATGAGTGTCATTTGTTATCTTAGCAACCAGGGAGGTAGCACATCCAGGTAGCACATCCAACAAAATAATTATTAAAGGCATTTGCTACATCTAGGGGGTGTTGCAGTGTTTGGTTGTTCATTTTGCCAGTGGAGGGGTGGGTTGTGGGGGTTTGTATGCTATTTATGATTGTCCATAAGTTTCTTGGGTTTGATAGGTTGTTGTTCAAAATTTCACTGAAATATTGAGCCTTAGCCTTTTTTGTTTTGTGCATGCATTTTGCCATAGTCTGTAAGTATAGTAATCGTTCATGGAGCCAGTACGCTTGAACTTTGACCACAGTGAATCTCTAAATTGGTAGATTTGAATGAGGTCAGCTGTAACCCGTGGCAGGTGTGTCCCTTTGAGTCGCACTTTACGCAGAGGGGCATGCAAATTACAAACACGCAAGAGCTTGGACGAAAAAAATGCAATTGCAGAGTCTAGATCTGGTATTGGACCTAATCTGTGCCATGATATGTTCTTAAAGATTCAAGATTACATTTTTTGAAAGACCTGGTGATTATAATCTTGAGATGGAATTAAGTGGCCTATATTTTGCGTATGCAGTGGTCACTGAAACTGTTAGGGAGAACGCCCACCTCATGGATCCTGTCAGGACAACTGGAGAGAATCCAATCGAGCAAGGTATGGTTCTAGCTTTTAATATTAATGCGAGTTGGGGAGGAAATGAATTGTGTTAGCTGCAAAGTTTTAAACAGCGTGCATGATTTATTATTTTTAGGATTCAGCCAATCAATATTAAAATCTCCAAAAACCAACAGTTCACTTTTTTGGTTTTGAGCTACAGTTTCACTAGGTAGTTGGGCTATGTCAGAAAGGGAGTGCACCGGGGAGATAGGTGCAGTAGATTCCAGCAACCATGATTAGTTTTACTGAAAGGGATCTCGATAGATACATTAGAAATGTAAAAAAAAAAAAAATATATAAAAAAAATCAAATTGTGTTCTCTATAATATGCAAGATATAAAATTGCAGTACACAAACGTTTTTAATTTTCTTCCCAAAAACTTGAAATGTGCATGTGAGCATCATTAAATCTCACAAATTGTATCGCACAAAGATATATCCATGTAAGGAGTTCTTAAAACAAATTTATACTAATCACTTGTTAAAGCAAATGATGCTATTTATTTCTTATCTTCTCTCATTGTGAGATAATTGTTTAAGAATTGAAGTAATATTTTAAAACGTGTGTGTGTGTGTGTGTGTGTATGTGTATGTGTATGTGTGTATGTGTGTATGTATGTGTATATATATATATATATATATATATATATATGTATATATATATATATATATATATATACGTATATATATATGTATGTATATATATATATATGTATATATATATGTATATATATATATATAAAATCATCTTATGTTCATCATATTTCAGATTTTAATTAAAATGTTTATCCTGACCAGGATCAGGTCCTGATGAAAGTAGTTTTTTTTTTTTTTGTGCAATGCAGAGAGATGCATACAAGCTTGGAACAGCATGCCATTAGCAGAATAGTAGATAAGTAAAATAACAAAAATTACATGTCAAGGATGATGCACTTTTAAATAAAGAAAAATAAATAAAATAAAGCGTAATAAAAAAAAAAAGAGCAAAACGGTTTGAAACCTGCATCCACCCATCAACACGTATTTAGACAAGGAAATTTGACTATTATATGGTAGGGTAGAAGGGCTAGGAATATGTCATTCAAGGGCAGCCAAGATTTCTGAAACTATGCTTACAGTATGTGATGATGTATGCTATTAAAGACAAAACCTCAAACTCCGTGGCATTAGTGACAAGGACAAGCGTAATATGTCGTTAAGCTACCGCACATCTGTCAGACACAACAAAAGAATAGACATAAATTGCATGAGTAGAACTCATTCTGACACGAGAATGGGGTGTGGGATTAATGCCTAGCACATGGCTAGATTATAAGTATGATAGCCTGTGCCCAATGTGGGTGGGTACTAAAAACAAGATATATCAAAACAAAACCTGTTTCACAGATAAAATGTGAAAGTTTACTGGGTCGGAATACTCTTATAGTACTGCACTACACATAAGAGCATATACAGAATGTACAAAAAGAACAAAAAACTTGTCATGAGGCATATATCCTAAATGCAGAAACATGCATTTGTGACTTGGGTACTGTGAGTTGTGCAATGGTTACTCACTGATGCCACCGCCTAGCTCCACTCCAGGCATGGTGCACCCCCTTACTGCCAGAGAATAGTGTATGAATTGTTACTGCCATGCTGCACATGATGCAGTGAGCCCTTTATTGTCTGGTGCAGAGTCCAAGTGACCCAGTGTGGACCAGGATGTCTGCCACCAGTCCGAATGGCGGTAACAGGCTATCACTGGGCACAGAGGTGTAACTGGAAACAACTGGGCACCGGAGCAAAAATGTATCTGGATCCCCTCCCATGTGTCTCATCTCCCCTCCCCCACCACCACTTTGTTTCTCATTTCTTCCCACTACCAGCCCCTCCACTGTCTCATTCCCCCTCTACCAGCTCCTCCACGTGTCTCGTTC